CATGAATTTCGACTAAAAAATCGGTGTTCAGATTTGAATGCCAGATTAATCTAGAGGGAAAATCATTAACAAAAAGCCAAACTTCGTGAAAATCGGATGAGATTTGGCCGAGATATGGGGGTGGTAAATTTTGACCCATGTCTATATACGAATCTTGGGGTAAGATTTGGACATGAATTTCGACTAAAAAATCGGTGTCGAGATTTGAATGTCAGATTAATCTAGAGGGAAAACCGTGAAGAAAAAGCCAAACTTCGTGAAAATCGGATGAGATTTGGCCGAGATATGGGGGTGGTAATTTTTGACCCATGTCTATATACGAATCTTGGGGTAAGATTTGGACATGAATTTCGACTAAAAAATCGGTGTCGAGATTTGAATGCCAGATTAATCTAGAGGGAAAACCGTGAAGAAAAAGCCAAACTTCGTGAAAATCGGATGAGATTTGGCCGTGATATGGGGGTGGTAATTTTTGACCCATGTCTATATACGAATCTTGGGGTAAGATTTGGACATGAATTTCGACTAAAAAATCGGTGTTCAGATTTGAATGCCAGATTAATCTAGAGGGAAAATCATTAACAAAAAGCCAAACTTCGTGAAAATCGGATGAGATTTGGCCGAGATATGGGGGTGGTAAATTTTGACCCATGTCTATATACGAATCTTGGGGTAAGATTTGGACATGAATTTCGACTAAAAAATCGGTGTCGAGATTTGAATGTCAGATTAATCTAGAGGGAAAACCGTTAAGAAAAAGCCAAACTTCGTGAAAATCGGATGAGATTTGGCCGAGATATGGGGGTGGTAATTTTTGACCCATGTCTATATACGAATCTTGGGGTAAGATTTGGACATGAATTTCGACTAAAACATCGGTGTCGAGATTTGAATGCCAGATTAATCTAGAGGGAAAACCGTGAAGAAAAAGCCAAACTTCGTGAAAATCGGATGAGATTTGGCCGAGATATGGGGGTGGTAATTTTTGACCCATGTCTATATACGAATCTTGGGGTAAGATTTGGACATGAATTTCGACTAAAAAATCGGTGTAGAGATTTGAATGTAAGATTTATCTAGAGGGAAAATCATTAACAAAAAGCCAAACTTCGTGAAAATCGGATGAGATTTGGCCGAGATATGGGGGTGGTAATTTTTGACCCACGTCTATATACGAATCTTGGGGTAAGATTTGGACATGAATTTCGACTAAAAAATCGGTGTCGAGCTTTGAATGCCAGATTAATCTAGAGGGAAAATCATTAACAAAAAGCCAAACTTCGTGAAAATCGGATGAGATTTGACCGAGTTATGGGGGTGGTAATTTTTGACCCATGTCTATATACGAATCTTGGGGTAAGATTTGGACATGAATTTCGACTAAAAAATCGGTGTCGAGATTTGAATGCCAGATTAATCTAGAGGGAAAGCCGTGAAGAAAAAGCCAAACTTCGTGAAAATCGGATGAGATTTGGCCGAGATATGGGGGTGGTAATTTTTGACCCATGTCTATATACGAATCTTGGGGTAAGATTTGGACATGAATTTCGACTAAAAAATCGGTGTAGAGATTTGAATGTAAGATTTATCTAGAGGGAAAATCATTAACAAAAAGCCAAACTTCGTGAAAATCGGATGAGATTTGGCCGAGATATGGGGGTGGTAATTTTTGACCCACGTCTATATACGAATCTTGGGGTAAGATTTGGACATGAATTTCGACTAAAAAATCGGTGTCGAGCTTTGAATGCCAGATTAATCTAGAGGGAAAATCATTAACAAAAAGCCAAACTTCGTGAAAATCGGATGAGATTTGACCGAGTTATGGGGGTGGTAATTTTTGACCCATGTCTATATACGAATCTTGGGGTAAGATTTGGACATGAATTTCGACTAAAAAATCGGTGTCGAGATTTGAATGCCAGATTAATCTAGAGGGAAAACCGTGAAGAAAAAGCCAAACTTCGTGAAAATCGGATGAGATTTGGCCGAGATATGGGGGTGGTAATTTTTGACCCATGTCTATATACGAATCTTGGTAAGATTTGGACATGAATTTCGACTAAAAAATCGGTGTAGAGATTTGAATGTAAGATTTATCTAGAGGGAAAATCATTAACAAAAAGCCAAACTTCGTGAAAATCGGATGAGATTTGGCCGAGATATGGGGGTGGTAATTTTTGACCCACGTCTATATACGAATCTTGGGGTAAGATTTGGACATGAATTTCGACTAAAAAATCGGTGTCGAGCTTTGAATGCCAGATTAATCTAGAGGGAAAATCATTAACAAAAAGCCAAACTTCGTGAAAATCGGATGAGATTTGACCGAGTTATGGGGGTGGTAATTTTTGACCCATGTCTATATACGAATCTTGGGGTAAGATTTGGACATGAATTTCGACTAAAAAATCGGTGTCGAGATTTGAATGCCAGATTAATCTAGAGGGAAAACCGTGAAGAAAAAGCCAAACTTCGTGAAAATCGGATGAGATTTGGCCGAGATATGGGGGTGGTAATTTTTGACCCATGTCTATATACGAATCTTGGTAAGATTTGGACATGAATTTCGACTAAAAAATCGGTGTAGAGATTTGAATGTAAGATTTATCTAGAGGGAAAATCATTAACAAAAAGCCAAACTTCGTGAAAATCGGATGAGATTTGGCCGAGATATGGGGGTGGTAATTTTTGACCCACGTCTATATACGAATCTTGGGGTAAGATTTGGACATGAATTTCGACTAAAAAATCGGTGTTGAGCTTTGAATGCCAGATTAATCTAGAGGGAAAATCATGAACAAAAAGCCAAACTTCGTGAAAATCGGATGAGATTTGACCGAGTTATGGGGGTGGTAATTTTTGACCCACGTCTATATACGAATCTTGGGGTAAGATTTGGACATGAATTACGACTAAAAAATCGGTGTTCAGATTTGAATGCCAGGTTAATCTAGAGGGAAAATCATTAACAAAAAGCCAAACTTCGTGAAAATCGGATGAGATTTGGCCGAGATATGGGGGTGGTAATTTTTGGACCCATGTCTATATACGAATCTTGGGGTAAGATTTGGACATGAATTTCGACTAAAAAATCGGTGTCGAGATTTGAATGTCAGATTAATCTAGAGGGAAACCCGTGAAGAAAAAGCCAAACTTCGTGAAAATCGGATGAGATTTGGCCGAGATATGGGGGTGGTAATTTTTGACCCATGTCTATATACGAATCTTGGGGTAAGATTTGGACATGAATTTCGACTAAAAAATCGGTGTCGAGATTTGAATGCCAGATTAATCTAGAGGGAAAACCGTGAAGAAAAAGCCAAACTTCGTGAAAATCGGATGAGATTTGGCCGTGATATGGGGGTGGTAATTTTTGACCCATGTCTATATACGAATCTTGGGGTAAGATTTGGATGTCTATATACGAATCTTGGGGTAAGATTTGGACATGAATTTCGACTAAAAAATCGGTGTCGAGATTTGAATGTCAGATTAATCTAGAGGGAAAACCGTTAAGAAAAAGCCAAACTTCGTGAAAATCGGATGAGATTTGACAAAGTTATGGGGGTGGTAATTTTTGACCCATGTCTATATACAAATCTTGAATTTTGACTAAAAAATCGGTGTCGAGATTTGAATGCCAGATTAATCTAGAGGGAAAACCGTGAAGAAAAAGCCAAACTTCGTGAAAATCGGATGAGATTTGGCCGAGATATGGGGGTGGTAATTTTTGACCCATGTCTATATACGAATCTTGGGGTAAGATTTGGACATGAATTTCGACTAAAAAATCGGTGTCGAGATTTTAATGTCAGATTAATCTAGAGGGAAAACCGTGAAGAAAACCCCAAACTTCGTGAAAATCGGATGAGATTTGGCCGAGATATGGGGGTGGTAATTTTTGACCCATGTCTATATACGAATCTTGGGGTAAAAACGACTGAATAGCTGAACGAGTGAACTAAATGATCGATTTAGTTAACGGCCAGAAAATGAACGAGTGAACTTATTCAGCAAACTGAACTAGAAATCCCCACTCTAGCAGCTAGTTTACGAACTTGCTCTCAATACAAACAAGAATTAGTTATGCTTCCAACGAGGCAAGGGTAGCCCCTCATATTTTCTAGAGAAGCAGAGAAAAACCCTATCAAAAAGTCGTGCTCGGGACTGCAAATGTAAATATTTTACAAATGTTTATCTGCAGTCGCGCCCACACGGACCAGGACTATGGCCAGGGCTTTGGCTTTGTCTTTGTGGAATATAAATTCTGTGGCAAAACAATACACACCAACACACACACACTCAGCTGCCACACCTGTACGTATTTTCGTAGCAAATAAATTAAATTTATGCTGTTTTTTTTTTATTTATTTTTTTGTGGGTTGTTTTGTCAGCAGCTCGCCCAGTTTTTATTTAGCGCAGCAAAATAAATAAATAAAACGCCGCAGCAAAACAAGTTTACCAAAAAAAAACGAGAGTATTGCAACAATAAAATTGTATTATTGCCGCACAAACTCGGTTCATGTTTCGTTGTTTATGTTTAAAAATTGTTTTTTTTTATAACTGTTTTTGGGACAAACAAATCAATTTTTAAATCAAAAAGCGAGTCTTATTAATTTATAGATAAAGAATTAAAAATACAAAATAAAAAATGATAAGAAAATATTAATAAATATTTATACAAAAGTATCTTTAATTTTATAGAAGGTTTAGGGTATCCCCAAGTCGGGCACTCCCGACTAGAAAACCTTTTATTTGCTTTTTATATATTTTCTAAATATGCAGCAAACTAGAGCCTCATATTTAAAGCAAATTATTCGCAAACATAAAACTGGCACATATAAGCTTGAATTGAAAAATATTTAACAAATTTTTAAAGATTATATTTGCCTCGCTTTTAGTTTTTAGATTAGCTTGAATATTTATAATATAATCATGGAGTATTCGTGAATATTTTCACATATATTATTTATGTTTTTTCTTCCATTTCTATGCAGATGATATTACAAAATCTGACAACAAACTCTTACTATGAAGTCAAAGTGGCAGCGGCCACATTCAGCGTTATAAATCCCAAGAAAATTGTGTTGGGCAAATTTTCGGATTCACGAATTGTAAGTACACACACATGCACACACACACACACCTGCACACACACACACACCTGCACACACACCTGCCAGCTAGGCAAATCAGAAATGCAATGTCTATGCTAAAGCCAGCTTTTGGCGGGCGTGGCATGCCATAAAATTAGCTATAATATTACAAAATGGCCGCGGCGTTGCCAGATCTGATTACACACACACACACCCACACACATACATACTCACATGCATATTGTGCGGCTGTCTATCTATTCTTTCAGCCTGCAGCATATTTTTGCCCGCCTTTGGCTAAAAGTTTATTGCATATTTGCCAGTTTTTAGGCCACGTCATAAGCAAGAGCCACACATTATTTATATATACCACTACACTGAGAGAAAAGTTCATAAGCTAAAAACTTTACTCAAGTAAAAGGCTTGAAACTAAATCAAGAGCGAACCTGGCCAAGCATATTATCAAGAGCTTTGAGCTTAAATCAAGCAAAGCCTGTCTTAGAAATACATTAAAGCCCATTCACGTTTAATTTCTGCACAAAAATCTTTTATTAAATATTATTTTAAATGCGCAAAAACTTGAATAAGAAATCATACAGAGAAAATGCTTTTGAATTTCCTCAACTTTTTCTTCTACTTTGCAAAATTGGCTTAAATAATTTTAAGCCTAGATCAACTTTTACTGTCATCAGTTTTTATAGCTAGAAATAAGTATACAACTTACAGTAGAATTTGTCTTTGCCTTATTCAAATAAATTAATTTAAGAATTCTTAGAAGAAGTTTGAAAATAAGTTAAATATTTGCTTGATTAAAGCACTTTTTGATAAAGTTTCTCTTGAACAAGTTTGAAAATCAGTACGAAATTTTAGATTTATTCGAACTTAAAACTTTGCTAATTTATACGAAAGTCTGCAATCGAGTACGAATATGCTTTATTGAAGAACTTTTAAAACGATGAGCTCTCAAAATCTTGAGTTTAAGGTTTAATTAAAGATTCTGTAGAACAAGTTTAAATTTGGGTAGAAATTTCATTTGATTAAAGAAATTTGAGTACGAATATGCTTGATTAAAGAACTTTTAGATTGAATCGAGCTCAAAATCTGACGAATTTTAAGCTTAATTTAAGATGCTTCAAAGCAACTTTGACAGAAATTAGGAATTATGCTTGATTCATGTACTTTAAAGCATTTTCGCACTTAAAAACTTGACAATCTTTATGCTTAATTTCAGATTCTTTAGAACAAATTTGAAATAATGTCAAATTTGTGATTGATTAGCGTTCAAAACTATTCATTAATAAATGAAAGTTGGATAGGATTATGTTTGGAGCTCAGTTTTTCTCGCCGTGTTTGCATTTTGTGGCATATCAATTTGCCTCCTGGCCTGGCAAGCAACTGGCATGGGTGGCGTATGCGTAATAAGCGTTTATGCATATTTAATGGCAATTTGTCAAGCATAATCTAGCCACGCCCATCGCTTTGCCCATTGTTTACGCTCGCCAGTTTATTGACTTTTCAACTCTGTCACAATATCTTGTCATAACAACATCCTTAATGACATATAACACATCACACACACGCACACGCACACACATGCATGCTGCATGCATTAAACATGTTTTGCAGCCGTGACAAAATATGCCAATTTAGCTGACCTCGTTGCGGCGATGGGCGTAACATTGTCACGCCCTCATAACTTGTGCAGTCTCCGTATGAGTTTTTTTTTTTGTTTTGTTGCATATTATTTTTCTGCTCCTTTCCATTTTCCTTTGGTTTTCCCTACTCTGCACACATTTCCATATAATTCATTGCTGACTGCATTTCAAGTGGCTGCACCTTTTGGCCATATTTATATGCTACGCTTCCGCTGGCCCCCCTCTTCCTTTACCATTTTCACATTTTTCACATTCACATCCAGTTACACTTCCGCTTAAGCGCACAAGCCACACAAATGTTTTTTAAATAAATATTATTTATGCAACAACAAACGGCAAATGCAAACCAAAGAAATATTTATTTTCATTTTTAACAAGTTGCTAAATGGTCAAAAAAAAAGAAAACGGATTGAGAGAAAATAGCAGAATATCTGAGCAAAATAAAGTTCAAATTATAAGCCCTGAGAAAAATGTATAAAAATGTCAGAGTACTATATCATATAGTCTAGAGAACTGAAATATATGCTAGCCCATATTACACTTATTATAAATATCCAATCTTTATCTTTTTGCCGATATTGATTCTTATCAATAGGCTTTATCATATTTCAATTGCTAGGTTTCATCCTAAAATTGGGTAAAGTTCCCATTATTAAAGGTAGAACCTTGTACTTTGGTATGTAGACACTTTTGTATGCCATACTTAAGTAATGAAAATTTCAAAAAGATCGGACTACAAAAACCCAAGTTATCTTAGACTGCATTTCTTATAGAGCACGGCTAATGGAAGAAGAAGCAAGACGAGCATGCCTCTGTGTATGTGTGTGTGTTTGTCTAGAACTAAATTCGAGTGTTCGTAGCGTGGATATCTTCAAGTCGGTCACTGCCTTGCCCTATCTTGAGCATCTTAATAGGGTAAAGGTATGCAGCATTATGCTAAAATCAACACAAAAGCTTAGCATACGCCCAGGCGCCGCAGCTAAGCACATATATGCCTGGCTTTGGGACGTGTCAGCTGCAGGCCAAAGACATTAATCCCAGCATGCTGCGAAGACAAACACAAGCCCGAAAACTAACCCGCAACTAACCTCTTTCTTTTTTTTTTTGCAACTTTCAGATACAATTGCAGCCGAATTGCGAGAAGCTGCAGCCTCTGCTGCGGCAATCGCACAACGATTACAACCTGGCCGTATTGGTGGGCATCATATTCAGCTGCTTCGGCATCATTCTGATTGTCATGGCGTTCTTCCTATGGAGGTAAGTGGCGCTCCTTGTTAACACACAAACCCCATCCCAGCCCCACTCCCGAGACAACTCAACCCTCACACTTCGCACCACGTAATGCCAAGCAATAACAAGTGCAGCTGCAGAGCGCGATGCGTGCTGGCCCATAAATTCACGTAGAAAGCCAGTGCACGGCAGTTGGGTATGCTCGACTGCGCAATGCTCTGTTCAGACTGAATCAAACCAAGTTTTTAAAGAGAATCCAAACCATTTTATTTATTTTTAATAATTAAAGAAACTTTTATTTGTATATAAAAACAAAACTTTTTATCCAGAATCACATATATAAAAATTAAAACTGTAAAACTACTAATACCCTAGAAAATTTAAAAAATATGAGCTTGAAGTTTAGATCCAAAACCTGATTTCAAAGATATGCACAAGCTGAACCTTGAGCTAAGGCTGATTGATTCGTAAGCCGAACCGCCGAATAATATTTTGTTTTGGGTACTCTCAAACTGTAAGCCCAAGTCATTGACTCTCAAACTGTGACGTTTAGCAATTTATAGGAATATGCTTGATTGTGAAGAAAGAATCTCATCCAAACTGTGAAAGATTTCCTTTTTTTTGTATCGCACAAAACCTATATGCCCTTCTTCATCTTGTGAAGAGCGTAAAATAAAACTCGCCCAGATCTCCGTTCCGAAGTGTTGACTATTTTCTTAACACGCGCCGCACTCCACGCTGAAACACACGCCCACCCCCGCCCCCGCCCCCGCGGCGAGGCTTAAAAATAGTCGAGGCCACAAATCAAAGTGTCGACCGGGAGGCAAATGTTGCATCCGCACACAGCAGGCAGCTATTTTGGTGCGTGCAAAGATGAAAATGTTTTTATTTCGTATTTAATTTTCCCAAAATCAACAACACTGATATATGTATATATATATATCGGGCAGATATATCTATTATAATGTGGAAGCAGACGCAACGGGACGTCGAACTGTCTCTGCAGCGAGGCAGAAAGAGTTTCGAGCATTTGCGGGATTAACAATCCCATAGCTGGGGCATGAGTAGAGCTCATTGCTAAGCACTGCAACATGTGTTGCGCGCTCTGTTTGGATTTATGAAAAACTACGCACAAAACAAAAAAGAGAAGAAAACAACTCAAAAAACATCTCGAGCATTGAAGCATAACGAAAAATCGAACATAGAATTTTCAATTGTTTTTCAACTTTGTTCTTAAAGTTTAGCCCAGTTTTATGATCCAATTGCAATTATTTCAATTGAAATAAATGTTAGATATAAAATATTTTACATGAATCATATTGGAAGCTACGCCAAATCATCAAAATATGACATAATTCATAAATGTCTTGCGAATTTTATAATATTTTCAACTTGGTTTATGAAATTAGCTCAGGCGCAGCCTACTTAACTTGCTCGCAGAGCCTTTCAGCTCAGGCGCAGCCAACTTAACTTGATCTCAGAGCCTTTCAGCTCAGGCGCAGCCAACTTAACTTGCTCGCAGAGCCTTTCAGCTCAGGCGCAGCCAACTTAACTTGCTCGCAGAGCAGCTTAGCTTAATCGCAGCCAACGTAACACGCTCCCAAAACTGTATAAGTCAGGCGCAGCCAACTTAACTTACCCACAGAGCTGTTCAGTGCTGCCAGATCACTCGCAAAACTAGTCTAGAATATTAAAAGTTCAATTTATACTCTTAAAACGTAAGAAGAGTACAGAGGAAACACAAAAAAAAAATTGAAATAGGAATTCCACCTTTATACGGCAGTGCAAACAAGCATAAAAACGCGCTCCTTCCCGCGGCAAATTGGCGCATCCTTTGAAACTGAAGTCCAGCGAATGCGAAAGCAAACAGGCAAGAAGAAAATAACCAGAAACAAGAATTCAGTATACGGGCTGGGCCCACTCCAAAATGGGACTGCCAACGCCCGCATATTCATTAGAAATGTTAATTAAAATTCAAATCACGAAGACATAAGCCCGGCGGGCACGTCATACGGAACGGAATGGCATGAAACGGAACGAAACGAAACGAGACGAGACGAAACGGAAGGCAGCGCAAAGACAAGCAAACAGTTTTAAGTTACTTAAAGTCTTTATTAAATGTGCGAGTGGTTAACCCGTTGCCAGTGTTACCCAATTTAAAAAAAAAACAAAGGCCCCGGCAACGGAATTGCCCGCCCACAGCCCGCCCACAGCCCGCCCACAGCCCGCCCACACACTCACACCCACGCCCACCAGCCCGCCCCCGCCTGCTAAATGCCATAAAGAAAATGCGAAGCATTTTTAACTTCAATGAAATATTTTTACTTCTTGTTTCTTTTTATTTATTTATTTTTTTTGTTGCCATTTTTCATGCTCCCGCGAATATGTCAAATAAAAGTTACTGCTCGCATTTCCCACACCCTGTCGCAACCGCGCCCTTCGCCCCTGCACACACTCTTCGCCCACTTTACTAACAAATTAATGCCCTTTTATTTATTTTTTACAAATACTGTGGAAAGTTAAGGACGCAATAAATAGAAGGGTAGCGTCGGGCCAGGCACTTTCCAAAGGCAAAACCCATTTTTCAAGTTAGCCGCGTTTTAGAGCGGAAAAAATTATATTTTATTCAACAAACAAACAAAACAAATTTCCACAATTTCCCTTTCAATGCGAACAAATAAAAGATCCAAGCCAAGTGTAAATAGGCATTAAAATAAAAAGGGTACGGTTTGCTAGTGCCACGAGTTGACTAGCTAATTTGCATGGATTGGCTTCCATGGCCACTCGAAAGGCAGTGCCAGCTCTTGAAGCCCGGGCTGAACTGAAAGCGAACGATTTTAAGTATTTAAAGAAAAGCAGAAACTATATTTATGCGTTGGTAAATGATGTCAGTTGAGATAACTGATCAACGAGAGTCGAGGCTCGAGTTTCCGACTATGTAACATGCATGTTATATGGTATGAGAGCTTAAACCAGTTGAAAGTAGTTTATCTCAAGCGAATTGGTTTATGACTCTAAGACTGCAAGCTCAAAAAAGCGACTTTCAAACTGTAAATAGAAAAAATTGACCTTTAACAGCAATTGATTGACCTAATCTTTAAAGCAGCTCGGCAGTAGACTAGACGCAACCAACTTAACTTGTTCGCAGAGCTGCCTAACCCAAGTGCAGCCAACTTAACTGGTTCACAAAGTCGTTTAATTTAGGCGCAGCCAACTTAGCTGTCTAACAGAGATGGCTCAGTGCTGCCAGATCGCTTGCAGAACTAGAACGGAAAATTATTAGCTGAATTCTTAGTGTTAAGGAGTTAAGCGAATACTGGGATATGAAAAATATAAATAAAAGAGAAAGATACAAAATGAAAGCTGAAAGAAAGCTATATAATATTGAAATTATTGAAATATTGAAACAATTTGGTATTTATTTGTTGTCAGAATTGCGAGTCCTTTAGCCTGACACAACTCTCTCGTGCGCCGCCCCCTCATATGCCACGCCTGCTTGTCTCAACTATTTCGAGAGCTCAACTCAATTGCTTGTATGAAATACTTTCTTCAATAGTTCCAACTCGAACTTTTGTTCGCGCAACTTTTCTGCTGATGCCACAGAAAAAAAAAAACAAAAGGAAGCAGCAGAAAATACTCAAGAGATTTTTATTGGAACAATTTGTTGGTTACAATACGAAAATATGTCAACGATAACAACAATTTTTATTTACATTTTGACGCCACATATAAAATAAAAAAGGACAACAAAATGCCAACAAAAATGGAAAAACTTTCGCCCCACAAATACACATACATATGTATGTCTCTCTCTCTCTCTCCCTCTCTCTCTCTCTCTCTCCCTGTTGGTAGTTTCATGTTTTATACAGTTTGGCAACATTGTTTTGCGGGCTTTATTTGGCCCCATGCCCTCATGTGAGTGCGTGTGTGTGTGTGTGTGTGTATACGGGGTCAGGCGTAGAGTTTTTCCGCCAACTTTTGCCTTTGGCCCCGGCAAAATAAAAACAACAAATGTTGGCAAGAAATTGTTTTGGCTTCGTATGCGCAACTCATTTTTTTTTTTTGGCCCAGCCTTTTGTTGTTGAGCAGAAATATTAGAAGCACGTGTGGTGGGAGGGGGGCGGAAATGGGGCTGGGGTCAATAATGGGGTAAGGTAAGTTAAGCTCAGGTCTTTGTGTGTGAAACCCTTGTGCCAAAGCTAAATATATAACCGTATAAGATTTCACTTCGTCAGCTTCGCTCAGTGTGCGGGTATCCCATTATTATTATTTTTAAGATATATTTTTCTAAGTCTTTAGTGAACTCCTGCTGAAAGTTTTTCAACTTTAACTTGGCATTCACTTCTGCTTTTCTTTCAGCTATTACTGACAAAAGTTATTAGAAACTTTAACCCCAAACAAAACATTTATCTATTGCTCATAATGCTCTATTTAATGATTTTCAAATTGTTTTCCTAATTGCTTGATTTATGTTAAAGTTAACATAAGTAACATAGGGCTTACTTTTGTACCCAGTATTTAATTCAAGCAATAACAGAAAGTGCCCAAGCTGGGAACTTCTTGTGCCCGGTATTTTTTTAAAAAATAACAGAAAACTACTAAAAACTACTCTCGCTCAGCACATTTGCAGCGAAGAGTGACAACATTAAAAACTAGGCGCTGTAAGCTCGCTGTTACATGCGTGTCTTATCACACGCAGCTGTTTGTGTTGACAGCTGACCAAAGCTCTCTCACTCGCGCGCTCTAACAGAGATCAAGAGAGTACATAACATATTGAGTTTAACATTAACAGTGTGAGCGCTGCTATGGCGCGTACAGCTGCTCCAGCTGTCAATTGGCATTTCAGTTGCGTTTTGATAATCGAACCGCGCGATCAACAAGTGAGCGAAGGGTGTGCATGAATCTGCCGTAGTTAAATGCGCGCGTGAGCAATAGAGAGAGAGAAAGAGAGCAACAACAACAGCCACAACAGTGCTTATCAAAGCAGAGAACATAAAAAAAAGGCACGATAAGCCGTCAGTTTTGTTCCTTTTTGTTTTGTTGTCTAGCTTTTACATTACAGCTGTGCGCGTGTATGTGTTGTTTATATGTGTGCGTGCGTGTGTGTGCGCCAATTGCGTACTAGATAATTTTGCAAGTGCCTGGCGACAGAGCGGCTGCCCCTCGACTGCGCACCCAGTTGCCAATATGACGTAATTTTCTCTGTGTACATAAAAGTGTGCAGCAGCAACAACAACAACAACAACAAGGGGGTCAAACAGACGGCGCAACAAGTGCAATGCAATTTTAACTTTGCTGAGAACAAAGCTTTGTCTACCTGCCTCGCCTCGCCCCGCCCACATTTTGAGCGATCATCGTTATGAGCAGCATGTCAGCAGCTGGCGGGGAAAAGCGTCGCAGCAGCACAACGCCGCTGTCGGCGTCGGCAGCGACGCCGCTGGTACGCCGCAAATCGCAACGTGGAAATTGGTTTACGTAAGTTTCTTTCCCACTCACGTGTGCCGGGCATAAGTCTTGTGGAAATGGTGGGGATGGGGTGGGGGGATAACGGAATCTGCCGATCAACTTTATGACAAAAACAATCAACAACAAGAATGCATAGCAAATGAACCGCAACAACAACAATTGTAGAACTGAAACGCTGCCAAAAGCATAAGAAATAAATAAACAAAACGGATGTTGACAAAAGAAACCAAGCAAAAAGAAATGTAACCAAGTCGCACGCAGCAATACCCTAACTAAAAGCTGTGCTTACAACAGGCCAAAAAAAACGCTTTTCTTCGGCACGCCGCACACTTAATACCCTTTTAGGCAGCTGGCGAGGCGATTTGTGAAGCTGCACGATTTATTGATCAAATCAAGATGGGCTCGAATATGTCTTTCTATATGCGTTACATAATTGATAACAAAATTAGAATACCCTAACTGTTTAGGGCTCGGTGCGGGGCTCGCCCATTTTTGGGCTGAATAATCCATTGCTTGCATATTCATATATTTGTTTCTCACAAAAATACAATATATATATAGTTTAGTTCAGGTTTAGCTGCAGGGAAACTGAATCGGTTCAAGGTTCAGTTATTATATGAATTAAGAACCGTTAAATCTGGTGAAAAACCGCTTTGCAGCCTTGAAACAGTTAACTGTAAGCTCGTCAAAAACAAAGTCAGCTGAAAAAGCACTTAAACTAAACTAAATAACAGAAGAAAATATATATACTTATATAACAACAGGTGTATGCCCTATAATTATTGAACATAAATCAAAGCTTTCAAATGTGTTTTTGATTTGTTTATTAAGTAAGAAATCAACAACAAGAAAAGTGGGAAAACATTAAAAATGTAACAGTTTTTTTTCTCAGAAAGTTTACGAGCTATTTAATTGTGTATTATATATACGTATGCGTACCTAGTTTAAAGGGTCGTAAATGACTAGTTTTTATGATTTACGAACATCGTGACTGCGCTTATAATATATGTATTTAACTATAATAAATATTTGGTGCGTAATAGCAGACCATAAAAAAACAACAACAACGAGATCAACATACAACGGCATTGAATAACAAAATTCACATATACAAGTGTACATATGCATGTGTGTGTGTGTATCTTAAAGTTATGCCTAGAAAAACAAAATAAACTCGAACGTTGTCTGTGTTATTTCGCATCTTAAAATGCGCCTGTTAAATATTATTGTTGCCATAACTGTACCCTGAACTCATTGTGAATGGTTTTAAAGGGTAGAATGTTGTTTTCCTAATGTTTTTATAGCAATCATACAAATTGACATATTCTTAAGCAGCATCAACAACTGCATATCCCTCCGTCACAATTAAATACTTTGTGCCAATTGTCGCCTTTCTATTACATTCTCACTGTGGGGATTGCCAACGAACTGTTCCCAGGGTGCAGTAAACTGTAGAATAATTGTCATCTCGATGCTGGGTTCAGGGTAGTTCCTAGTCGGTCAGTTTCCACAAGCACACTCTTGTTATTGTTGTTCCATGTGGTTGATAAGCGCTTTAACGACTGATAAAGTTATTGGCTACTCAAAGATACTTTGGCGTATTGCTAAGGCCATCAACATTTACGTTTCTCATTCGAGAAAAGCTGCTGAACTGTTCATTTTATGTTTGGATACAAAGTGTTTATGGAAATACTCCCAATCTAAATAAATACAGGATTTATGCACATTAGGATATCTATTGATGACATAGTTAAGTTGGGCACGGCGAATTCCATGAGACACTCAAAACCGAGAATCCAAAATAGCATTACAATATCCAGAGTTTACACCTTGAAAAAAGAAAACAAAGGTTTTAAAATAAATCAGTTTTTAAAGCACATTTTGTGTTTAGTAAATGCAATTTTGCGATAATTCTTTCAGCAATCTTTTCTTACAATCTGTTCCCACTTCACAGGCAATAAAAGATTAAAAAAAAAAATTAGAAGGTTGCTTAACATGTGCTCTCAAAAGATTTGGCAGCAATCGAAACACGAGAGATTTGAAGAGAAACTAATTTTGGTCAAACGGTAAATTAGACAAGACTTTTATTCATTTGACCCGCTGCCCGGGCAATTTTCTCTTAGCTACCGTAAAGCTGCAGACGAAAAAAGTACCTTAAAGTACCTTTTTCTGTTGGAATTAGTGACGTCACAAGCGTGGGCAATTCCTTATCAGGTGGCAACGCTTATGTATAAATATGAAGATTGCAGAAGAGCAAGCAAGGAAGCGCCTAATCGATTGACAAACTGATCAATAAATATTGTTATTATCATTAATATCGCGATAATAATGGTATTTAGCAACAATATTGCACATTAGCCATGCAAGCAACCTTCTCAGTTCTCTGAGATAAGACTCAACACACAAAGGCAAATCGCGCTCTTGGGTAACCAATAAGGGCTGACAGAAATATCTGGCAGGCCTAGCACGGGAATTTTCTAAAAAAAAAAACCAACAGCTCACAACAAGTTCGTAAAAGTTAAACAAACTTGCTTTCTATATACATATATATGTAGATAGGGTTTTCAGTGAGGCAAAAGTTGTTGCTCCTTGTAATCGCTTTGGCCAATTAGAAAACTTAACCTCAATTTGTAAGCAACTGCAATTGCCATTCAAATTTTGTTGAATGAACCTGCGTCAGCTGCACTTCACCTGCAGCTGCAGCATTGTCACTCAACAAGATTTGCAGCGAGAGTTTCAGTTGCCATTCAAAAAAAAAAAAAAAAAAAATTCCAAAAGAAATATGTAAATAAAATTCGTTTATGCTTCGCTGCAGCTAAATACCGTTAATGTTGACCAACCGCCCACAGTCTTAGGGCGTGTCCTTCAGCTGCAGCGGCACACTCTCCCTCCCCCTCCCCTCCCCCCTCTCCCTTTCCCGCCCCTCTCCGGCCAGCCGTATTATTTATGCATTTTGATTTTAGTTAAAAGCGCGTTGAGCACATTGAGTGCCACTCCAGCTACTCACCCCCCCTCCCCCTCCTCCACCATCTTCTGCATTTTCCACCCACTGAGCTCACCTGACACCTGCTTTTCCATAATTTCATGCCATTTCCAACAATTTCCAACTAATTCCAAATACTCGCTAAGTACGCTTTTGTGCTGCTGCCTGATACTTGAATTCTCTGTTTGCCGAGCTCCTTTCTTGGCGCTTGACCAATAATAAAAAAATATATAATATATATGTATTTCTTTTCATTTAAGTGGACAGCTTGAAAAACGGGGCTAGTTGCTTGTTTTTCACAGAATTTTTGTTGGCATTGCGAGTGCTTGAATTGCTCGAAGAAAAGGCAGCTATTCTTCGGCCTGAATACGGTTGATATAAAAGTACTTGGAATATAGGAATATAGATCCTTACAGTAAAAACTTTCAATCCTTCCTTAATCTCTTAATCTGTTAAAATCTGTTTAACTATTCTAAGTCAGACCACAACCATAACTCCCTTTACTAGGCGGACACACCTCTTGAGCGGACAAACATTAACAAACGCTCGCTGTCCGCCTAAGAGAGTTAACCTTGTTGTATGTGGAGTAACAAACATTTGACATGATATATAAAAAGATATCTTTCCCTTTTCAAACAAACTAAAGAAACCCAATTTACCAAATCATTTGAAGATTTTTCTTTTGAGCTTTTCAACTGAAGTCCAAATCCTGATCTAGTATATGTACATATATGTTTTATGGGCTTCAAAGTGCCTGCTTCAATTATGATAATGCCTTCGATAAACTTTAACCTAGCCTCAACTTCCAGCTCCATATAAGTACTACATATATCCGATATCTAATTTTAAGCAAAGAATTAACATTCGACCTCTTTGTGGTTTCACTTATTTCAGCAGAAAGTGCTTCCATGCGGCCTACTACTATCTGGACGATCCGCCGCATCATCCGAATGCCCCGCAGGTGGACTGGGAGGTGCCTGTGAAGATTGGCGATGAAATACGCGCTGCGGTGCCGGTAAATGAGTTTGCCAAGCACGTGGCCTCGCTGCATGCGGATGGGGATATTGGCTTTAGCCGGGAATATGAGGCCATACAGAACGAGTGCATCAGCGACGATCTGGCCTGTGAGCACTCGCAGCATCCGGAGAACAAGCGCAAGAATCGCTATCTGAACATAACAGCTTGTAAGTACACGTAATTACAGGGTATTCAACATATGACTCACACACACTTCTCTTGCTCTTGCTCCTGTAGACGATCACAGTCGCGTGCATTTGCATCCCACGCCGGGTCAGAAAAAGAATCTGGACTATATCAATGCCAATTTCATTGATGGCTATCAGAAGGCGCACGCCTTCATTGGCACCCAGGGCCCGTTGCCGGATACCTTCGATTGCTTCTGGCGCATGATCTGGGAGCAGCGCGTGGCCATTATCGTGATGATCACCAATTTGGTGGAGCGCGGCCGGCGCAAGTGTGATATGTATTGGCCCAAGGATGGCGTGGAGACCTATGGCGTTATACAGGTCAAGCTTGTCGAGGAGGAAGTCATGTCCACCTACACGGTGCGCACGCTCCAAATTAAGCATCTGAAGGTGAGTAGCTCCAATAGCTTCGGTGTCGTTATTTGATTCCCATTTCGTTTCCACAGCTAAAGAAGAAGAAGCAGTGTAATTTGGAGAAACTTGTCTATCAATATCACTATACGAACTGGCCGGATCATGGCACACCGGATCATCCGTTGCCCGTGCTGAACTTCATCAAGAAATCCTCGGCTGCCAATCCCGCCGAGGCGGGTCCCATAGTCGTCCACTGCAGGTAAGTCAGCGAGCAGAAGCTCCTCCTCCTTGACAGCGGCTTATTGTAATCCATTTTTTCCTATTTCTCCATCAGCGCTGGCGTCGGTCGCACTGGCACCTACATTGTCCTGGACGCCATGCTGAAGCAGATCCAGCAAAAGTCCATTGTCAATGTGTTTGGCTTTTTGCGTCACATACGCGCCCAGCGCAATTTCCTCGTCCAGACCGAGGAGCAGTATATATTCCTGCACGACGCCCTGGTGGAGGCGATCGCCTCCGGCGAGACCAATCTGCCGGCCGAGCAAATCGAGGAGCTCAAGAATTGTACACCCTACTTGGAGCAGCAGTACAAGAATATCATACAATTCCAGACAAAGGACATACACATCGCCTCCGCCATGAAGCAGGTGAACTCGATCAAGAATCGCGGCGCCATCTTTCCCATCGAGGGCAGTCGTGTGCATTTAACACCCAAGCCCGGCGAGGATGGCAGCGACTATATCAATGCATCCTGGCTGCACGGCTTCCGGCGTCTGCGCGACTTTATTGTCACTCAACATCCGATGACGCACACGATAAAGGATTTCTGGCAAATGGTCTGGGACCACAATGCGCAGACCATTGTCCTGCTCTCCTCGCTGGATGATATTGTGAGTGTGCTGAGCAACAGCTTCAACAAAGACAAATCTCTGACAAACGCTTACTTTCTCTTACAGAACTTTGCGCAGTTCTGGCCGGACGAGGCCACGCCCATCGAGAGCGATTACTATCGCGTCAAATTCCTGAACAAGACAAACAAAAGCGACTACGTCAGCCGCGATTTCGTCATACAATCCATACAGGACGACTACGAGCTGAGCGTCAAGATGCTGCACTGCCCCAGCTGGCCGGAGATGTCCAATCCGAACAGCATCTACGATTTCATAGTCGATGTGCACGAACGCTGCAACGATTATCGCAACGGACCAATTGTGGTTGTCGACAGGTGAGCCAAAGTGAATCCTTAGCCTGATGTTGATCCTCTAATCCAAGCAATCCTTTTTTAGATATGGCGGCGCACAGGCGTGCACCTTCTGTGCCATCTCCTCGCTGGCCATCGAGATGGAGTACTGCAATACGGCGAATGTGTATCAGTATGCCAAGCTATATCATAACAAGCGACCCGGCGTGTGGACCTCCAGCGAGGATATACGTCTCATCTATAATATTCTGTCCTATTTGCCTGGCAATCTCAGTTTATTGAAGCGCACCGCGCTGCGCACCGAATTCGAGGATGTGACAACGGCCACGCCGGATCTCTATAGCAAAATATGCAGCAATGGTAATGTCATACACCAACAACAGCAACAGTTGCTGCTGGCACAGCAGCAGCAACAACAGCTGCTGCAGCTGCAAATGCAACACGAAACACAACAGCTACAACAGCAACAACAACAATCGCAGCCGCAGCAGCAGCACACACAATCAAATCTCATTAGTCATAGTCATGCAACAGAAACAATAACTGAAACAACAACTGCAACTGCAACAACTGCAACAACAACAACAACAAACACAAATACAACAAATACTAATTCTAGCTTATTGCCCATCTCATCATTGTTACCACCCACAGTTGCTCCATCATCCATCACACCCACACCCAGCAATGACATGCACAATCCAACAACAACAACAACAACTACAACAATTCCTACACCAACAACACCAACAACTGCAACAACACCTACAACTGATCTAACCCATACTAATGCTAATTTTACCACTGTTACTAATAATGCTGCTGATGTGCCGCCAATTGTTGCTCTTAATGCTGATGAAATGGCCCAACAACAACAACAACAACAACTGCATCAACAACAACAAATGCTCGCGCTGATGCAACAACAAACGCAACTGCAACAACAATACAACACGCATCAACAACAACAACAATCGGATAATGCCAACTGCCTGCTGCCACCCACGCATGTTGATGAATTGCTGCAACCTGCAACAACAACAACAACGACGACGACGACAACAACATTGTGCAACAACAACAACAACAACCTGCAACAACCGGCAGCAGTCACAGATGCTCAAAATTTAGATATTGTAGCTTAGATTTAATGTTACAAATTAATTGCAAAAAATCATTTTATAAATGCTAGCATATAAATACAACTAAATCTAAATATACATATAAATATATATATATATATAATTATTATTACAAAATTTAACATAATTAAATATATAATTATTGTAAACATTTGCCTAGTTTTATGAAGCGCGTCCTTAAACCTATTTTACATATTATTTAACATTTATTTATTGCTGTGCGCGTTCTTCTTCTTTTTACCCATATATTGTTTTAAATATCTTTTCGAGTCCTTAACAAATCCTGTTATAAAGAAACACACACACAATCAATCGCTTATTAATGTTCAATGTTTAATTTAATTTCAATTTATATTGTATTCAAACGTAGTCGCAAGCAAATCACATAAAATAGACAAATAAGTAAAAACTAGCAGCAAGGCACATGATTAAATATATTTAAATATAAATATATATCATAATAATGTTTAAATGTAGTTAAACGCACAAAATGAAAAAAAAAAAGCATACACAAATTAAAATACGACGAAATTGCCCTCAATTTGTTAAATTTAATGAATTAGTTTTTATGTACGAGTAAATCGAAAGTTTGTGCCATGCTCGAAATATTGAGTTGAAATCAGGTTCTTATATAAGGTCAGTTTACCGTTAAATATTGTCATATTGTTTGCTAAATTGATTCAATATCCGTCCTACAATCTGTTAACTGTTTTTTTTCTGCTCAAAATTCTACACAACGATTTCAAACGTGTTGAAACTTAAAAAACAAGAAATACACAAAAATAAACGTAGCGAAAATTATGCGAATTTAATAGAGAGGAAAATTAACATATTTACGACAAATTTTGCATACATATATGTAGATAATGTCATGTCTAGATCTTTACATATATATATATATATATAATATGCATATATGTATTTTCAAAGGCACAAGAAATATTTTCTCAAATTTATTCGAAGCACCTAAGCAAGCACCGCATCACTGTAAATCCCCCAAAAAAATAATAATAATAAATAAAATTAAATAAAAACAATTGATGTAAAACACACACACACAGGCACACACACACACGGGCACATCACAAATGTAAATATATGTACGCCTCGTAGTTGTAGAAAGAATGAGAAAAATAACTTGGCTTAAGGCGAGCTGTCAACCGGCTCTTCACGCTATAAATATTGTAAAAAAAAAAATAAATAAAAAAAAAAACATTGCAAAGAAAAAGAAGAAATTGCTTAGCGTTTAGTATTTAAGAACTAATTGTGTGTAAATCGTAGCGCAGGCAAAGTATTACTAAAATAGAAATTCGCGTGGAAAACAAAAACAAAAACAAAATAGAAAAGAGAAAATCTGCAAAAATATTGAAAATTGTTTTTCTTAAATGTAAGCATGAGAAAAAATTGCACCAGCATTAAGATTTGAAAAAAAGAAAAATATGAGCACAGGGTGTTTCCCCTCAAATGATCCAATGCCATTTTGTACAGATTCAAAATCGAACGCTTGTGTGTTCCAGTCTAAAAATGGAATCCATGGATTACACAAGCATAAAACTATATATATAGTATATAGCATGGAGCAAGTCCGCTTGAAAAAAAAAGTATATATACCTATATATATGTATGTATAATCCGTAAAGCGTAAACAGTTATGCTTCGCGCACGCCACATTCACATTCGGATTTAAGCCAGATTTAGGATTTATACATTTACGAATGTTTATGTATATGTATTTACTGATAAACAACATAATGTTTTAAAGACTGGTTTTTTGTAAACTTTATCTTAAGCGCAGCTCTACAACTGTCTATATTAATTATGCATTATTGTATCTAAGCTTGATTTCAATCAAATTGCTTTCGATTTCGGGTATACCAAAACTTCAAGTTCAGTTCTTGGCAAAATACATTTAATAGATATCATTATTAAAAAGAAATCGTATCCCTACTCTGTTATTTCGCTGCATTTCTAGATGAAAAGTAAAGAAAACAAAAAAAAAAACCTTTAACCTAACGACCAATTTTTGAAATGATTTTCTTTGTAATAGATCTATGCAAAACTCTAGGCACTTGTATTAAGAAACGTTCTACATATATAGAAGGCTTGTAAATTCTCATAACTTAAAAAAAAAAAAACAAAAACAAAAAAGGCAAAACTAGAATGCTTCATCTGTAATATACGAAAAGCCCATATTATTTTCGAAAAACTAAACGATAACTAAAGCATTTTAACTATGAAAACACAAAGTAGTTCTTAGTTAAACATAATGTATGTATTATTAAACTAAACACAAAAAAAAAAAACGAAAATATTAATTGAATGAATGAATGAATTTGTAAATGACAGCCAAACAATCTTGACAGCATCTGGCCTGGATTATATATTCCCAGCCAATGTGAAGAAAAGAGCCGAAAAAAACTAAAAAAAGAAAAGAAAAATATTCGAAAGAAAAAAAGAAGAAAAAAAACTGCACACACTTCTCGAGCAAGGAAACCTTTCCAAGACTAACTACCTTCACAAATCATATAATTAATATATATATAAATATATATATTATCTAATTGACGGTGTTATGCAATTTATAAATGTGATGAATGTCAAACTTAAGCGTATAAAAACGTATACAAAAATATTAAAAAGAAAAAAAAACCAAAAAAAAAAAAACAGTTTAGTAAAAAAGCTGAAATGTAGCGAAAACCGAAGTAAGCATAACCCACGATTTTAGAGCTAAGCATAAAGCGAAGGGAAGCGAAGCCCATAGTTTTAAAAGGGAATTACAGAGTAGCAGCAAACGAGGATAAACAGTTAAGAGAGAGAAGCGTAGAAGTGCAGCAAATGAAGTAAAGCAAGTTTAAAGAGTAGCAAACGCTTCTTCAAGTAAAGAGAGCAAAGAGTGGCGCGATCAAATATCTCGAAATACCAGAAAATTGAAAGAAAACAACAAAAAAAAAAAAAAGCAAAAAATATAAGTTTATGTACACCTAAGTTAACGGATAAGCTAATGAAGAGTTGATATGGATGCAAGCAAAAAAAAAAAAAAAAGGAGAAAAACAAAAAGAAATCTTATAAACCTAAAGTGAATGGAAATACAAATAAAGAACATCTAATTTAAATTGTTTCGAATCACACTCACATTCAAAGCGGAGCGCGTGTTTGCAGCGTGAATTCCACATCCATTTGGCCAAAGCTGCTGCGCGGCAGCACGTCGGGCAGCCAGGAGATATACAAACCACTTTTTATCTGCAAGCAAAGAAATTACAGGGTATTATAAGATACTGTTGAAGGCTTAGCTTAGGTTACAACGTTTCAACCTGGCATTCCACTTGGCCAAGAAAAGCCCTTCGATTTTTGTTTAAGGCAAACATTTTGGAACATTGAAAAAGATATCTTTTGAATACATTTTGATTTTGTCTTCTGTCTTTGTCTAACCCTACTTGAAGATTGTATTTGAATATAAATATATAAGCAAATAATAATCCTAACAAATTTCAATAGAGCGGACAGGTTAGATCCTAAATTGAAAAGAAATTTAGCCTAACCATACATTTTTCTAATATAAATTAAGTTGTTTCATTCAAAATTGTCCAGGCTCAAACAAATATCTGAGTTCCTTAATGTGGAATGCCAGGTTTACGAAGCGAATTCATAATTTTAGCCATGTTAGCGACTAGTTTTAGATAACAGTTAAAATTTGCACCTGTTGCTCGACATCGAAGAGCATTTTAACCATAAAAAGCCGCAGTTTTGTATGCACCAAGCGCTGTTTTCCCTGTGCGTCTGTCTGCATGGAAGTCTGTCGCACATAGGGCACAAAATGTCTATCTGCATGGCGTTCAAAGCAGCGCTCCAGCTGCAAGCTGATCTATTTTGAACAGAGACATCAATTAGTTTTCTGAATTAAGTAATATGATAAGACATACATTGCGACTGCTGAAGATGCGCTTCACAGTGTGCGAGGCGCTAAAGTGCCAAATATACTTGCTAAGACCTTTGTTTCTGCCGGCTTCGATGACTGCAACCTGGTGCAGGGGACGCCGCTTGATGCCCGCACTGAAGCTCTTGCTAAAGTGCGAGAATGTTTCCTGAAATATCCTAATATTAGATATATGTTTTCGATATGTATACAACTATTTGTACTGACTTATAATCAGCAGGGTATCACACACACCACGAATCTCACCTTGTGAACATGAAAACTTTGGAGCAGCTGCCGCGTGTTAACTGCCTGCATAGCCGCAGGATCCGGCTCGATGGATACGTTGAGCAGCTCTATCACATAGTCCAGCCAGGCCTGATAGGCCAATGCCGGCTCCACAGCCACGCCCACAGCCTCAGCAGCCGCAGCAGTTTTGCAGTTCGGCTCATTGACAATGAGCGCACGCTTTGCCGGCAGCGGCGGCTGCTTGCGCGTCTTGACCTCCTCCACAATTTCAGAAGCTTTGATGGCGGACTTCTTGACCACCGCAATGGTGGGCAGCTCTATGGCATGCAGCTGATTGTTGGCCGCTGGCGGCGCCTTTGTATAGATGGGCTGAGGCGCCAGGATGTTGAAGGGTTCGCCGACCAGCGGCAGCTCAATATCGTCGCTGCACAAATCAATTTGGTCGGTCAGCTGATACTGATCCATCAGCTCAATATTGCAATCAGTCAGCTCCAAATGTTGGTCCTGCTGCTGCTCAGCGTATATATCGAAATTCGACAAGAGCTGTGCGTCGTTGACCAAATTGCTGCAATTGCTATTCGAAGATGGCGTGGTGTTCACATCGTAAATGATGTCCGACAGCTCCTCCGGCATGGGCAGCAGCTAAAAATGTAAGTATTTATAATAATTGTGCATTTTTGCTGGCTGCAGCAAGCTTACATCCGTGTCTGTCACACAGAACTCATCGTCAAATATGTATATATCTTCGGCAGGATCAATCTCGCCGCTTAAGTTGATGCTCAAGCTCAAGCGCAAATCGTCGTGCGTGGCCTCGCCCAGTGGCGTCTCCAGCTTGTCGGGCATCCAGAACGTTTGCAGGCTCTTCGTAAAGTTGCCATAGATTGTTTTGCCCTGCGGTGAACTGAGTATGCCGGCCAGCACGAGCAGCAAATGGTCACAGATTTCGTCCTGCATGACCAGCGAGTTGTCCGGCTCCACGATAATCTTTAGCTTGCGACAGGCACACGCATATGTGCCCTTCTTGGTAGACAGTCCATTGGCAAGGGCCGTCACGTGCAGTTGCCCAGCTGGAAATGTATTGGAGCACTCGCACTTGACCACAAAAGTGGTTGCGTTTAGGCGCTGCACCGCCGGCAGCTGTTCACGGTCCTCGGCCGACTTGTACTGCTGCCAGAGCTGTTGCTTCTGTTCCAGACTGATGTTTAGATTCCAGAGCACCTCGCGCGACACCGTGTACACCTGCGCCTTGGGCATCTGATCGTGACCCTCGCGGCAGGCTTTTATGTGCCGGCAATCGTTGGCGGCCTTGCATGCATCCACATAGCAAACGGCCTTGCTGGACACCACAGCCGCGTTCGGTTGCAGCGACAGCGTCACATCCTCAATGCACACAAAATTGCGCGGCTGCGCCTCCGGATCCCGTTCTTTGGTGCGCACCGAATAGATGGCACAGCCGGCACGCCGGCAGACGAGTTGCACGCCATCAAGCACATTCTTGTTTTGCGGACATGTGGTATTCCGGCAGAGGAGCGCACGACTGCCATTTATGGCGCCACAACTTGCACATTTTCTCAAGCCGCGTAATGTGGGACGCTGAATTTGTTTTAAATCCGCACATTTAGTTTCGCTAGTCATAGCCGCAGTGTTGCCAGATCACTTGATAAACATGGCTAACCTATCGATACAACTATCCTGTTTGTTATCGTATAAGACGTTATCGATAACATAAGCTTCTTTAACCGCCAAGTCAAAATTCCAAGCTTGTTTCATTATAGTTTTTCAGTTTATTATACAATTCTTAGTTCTATATAAAATTATAATATATCTTAGTTCGATCAGCTTTAAGGAAGAAGTGTTTTTTTATTTTATTATCAAATCACAAACTCGCTGCATGCCGCTGCAAACTTTCTAGACAGTCAAATTCCACCTGAGCCTCAATCCAGCGAGCCACAGTCAGCAGCAGCTGTTCATTGAGGCTGTTGCTCATCAGCTGCAGGCTGAGCGGTAAGCCAGCCTTGGACAAACGCACGGGTATCGAGACAGCCGGAATGCCTGCCATATTGGCGGGCTGTGTGCAAAAGTCCTGCACAGCGCACTGATCGCGATTGCTAAGTGCCGCAAAGTCCTTATAGAGCGGCGCCTCGCTTAACGTTGTGGGTGTTAGCAGTATGTCAACCTGCTCGTTCGCTGCCGACGCCTCAAATACCTTGGCAAAGTCTTCGGCAATCAAGCGACGCACACGCAACGCCTTCTCAAAGTAATGATCGTAGTTTTTGCGCAACAGCAAAAAGTTGCCCGTCAATATGCGCGTTTTGACCACCTGATTGAAGCCCTCGGCACGCGTCTGGGCATATAGCTGCTCGGTGCTGCGCTCATCGGCGGCACGGTGCCCGTACTCGATGCCATCGTACCGCGCCATATTGCTCGCCACCTCGCACTGATTCAGTATGGAGTAGACGAATATGCTGGCCGCTGTGTGGGGCAGTGATACCTGCCTCACACTGGCGCCGGCGCACTCTAGCAAATCGGCCACCTTGGTCCAGGTTTCCAGCACTTCGGTGGACAGTCCATCGCAGTGATATTCTTTGGGTATGCCTATGCGCAGGGAACGCAAATCAATTTGCTCAACTTCTGGCAATTGGAGCTTCTTGTATGGCTGTCGTATAGTCGTGGAATCCAGTGCATCCGGTCCGGCAATGGTATTTAGCACTTCAACGCAATCGCTAACCGAACGCGTCAATATGCCGGGCACATCCATTGAATTGACCAGCGGGATCAGGCCATGGCGCGAACAAAGTCCGTAAGTGGGCTTAAGGCCCACGACGCCGCAATAAGAGGCGGGATTTCGTGTAGATCCGCCAGTATCCGAACCAATTGCCCTGCAACAAGAAAAACAATAATTTAATGTATAAATGAAACTAATTGAATTCAACTTTTTTCCGTTACACTTCGATAATTAAACATCGATAAGCAACATTTGTAATTACTTTCGATATCAATACATATCGCTTGCCTTGCTGCTTTCGATAGCTGCACAGCTGACAGCTGTGAAACGGTCACACTGCGCCAAAAGCGAACGCAAAACTAAAAACATTTACGAGAAATTGCAAATATTTTGTTGCGTGTCCAAGCGATGTCTGCGCTCTTTCGCCTAACCAGCCGTGCCATAGCGCTGCAGCGTTCCGCAGCGCTCAACCAGGCGGCCACGCTGCGATTCTCCCGCAGCATCAAAACATCACCCAAAAAGGATGAAACTGTCGCAGCGCCAGCCAGCGTTACGACCGAGGACTTTGCCAATCCCAGCCCGAAGAACTGGATGAGCTACGGCTTTGACTATAAGTCCGAAACGGAGGATCGCAAAGCAACAAACTCAACATTCTTCGTTGCCGTCACACTCTGCCTGGTATGGGGCACGTTCTACTGGTCGTATCTGCCCGACACACAGCTGACCAGCTGGGCACAACGCGAGGGCTTCTTGGAGCTGCGTCGCCGCGAACAGGCGGGCCTAGATCTGGTTAGCCCCAACTATGTGGACCCAGCTAGCATTGTGCTGCCATCGGACGAGGATCTCGGCGATACGGAAATCATAATTTAAACAATTAGTGCTCTAACCCTTAGTTTGTTTTGTAAGCGAATGTTATGTAATGGAAAATGCTGTTGCCCGCAGCTGGAACGCGTCTTCTGTGCGTAAATAAACGAACATATTTCGGCACGAAATCACGTTTTGCCTGCCAGTTTTTAGACGTGCATTACGCAAATAAAAACTATACGCGAGTTGTTCTCTTTTGTCGCACAGTTTGAGGTTAGGGAGAACCAAACAAAATGTAAACAATTGTAAAAAGAAATACTTACGCATAGCATAAACCAGCTGCAACAGCTGACGCAGATCCGCCGGAGCTGCCGCCCGCTATGCGCCAATTGTCCGCAGCGAAGGACTCGCTCCAAATGTTCTTGGTTGGCCCATAAATGGAGTCAACCGTGCCGGCGCCCATCGCAAATTGATCCAGATTCGTTTTGCCCAGCAAAACGGCGCCGGCTTCACGCAAACGTGCACAGACAGTCGCATCGTAGGGCGGCACAAAATCCTGCAGCATACTGTAACCGAACATTTGCTTAACAATATTTGAACTAGTCGGAACAGTTCTTTAGATAGCTACCGGGAGGCGCACGTTGTGGGCACTGCGCTGGTGCAGAAATTATCCTTAATAGCTATGGTGACGCCATCGAGACTTCCAAGGGAACGCTGTTCCGCATAGCGTTGCGCCGACTCCTTGGCCTGCTGCAGCGCCAGCTTGGCTGCGATGCACACAAAGGCATTCAACGTCTTCAGGCTGCCGGCATCCTGGAGCGCCTGCTCCGCCACAGACAGCGGCGATAATTGGCCATTGATGTAACCGGCGGTTAGCTGAAAGTTGAGTCCATTTCAAAAAGCAGCTCCAAAAGATGATCAATTCACATACCTGTTTAATGCCCAGCTGCAGGTGACGCCTCATGCTCACGTAGTATCTAATGTATTAAAGTCCCAATCTTAAGCAAGCAGCTTTTATTTAGAAAAACGGCACATTATAAACAATAATTCGGGCATCCAATCTAAAAACTGTGTGCATGCACAGGGTGCCTATGGAAACACCCTGTCAGCTAGAGATGCGCGCCATATCGATAGTTTTATTGGCGCGCTGCAGTATTAAATACAAATTGCAAATTCAACATTTAACTAACAATTAAACACGTACATATATATTTTTTTTTCATAAAACATTAAGCGTTTTCAAACTAGTTCCATAAAAGACATGCTGCATCATTAAACTAAACATAAAAAGTTGTCAAAATTTGACTATATGCTACGATCCCATTCTACACACATTGCACTAGGCCAGGTTCTTGATCTTATCCTTTGGATTGTGTTCGCCATGTGCTGTGGTTATATTAAGAGAATTATTTGCGTCTAGCTCCTTTGCCTCTTGCTTGATCTCACGCTTAACGTTTGTGGAAGACGATTCTTCGTCCTCTGTCTCAGATTCGCATTTCTGTGAATGAGAATTGACTTGGATTAGTATTGTTTTTCGACGATATCAAATTTGTTGATGATAAATGTTAGAAATGTACATGCAGTTAATGATTTCAATTAGTTGAGCAGTGCATCGAACCAGGGCAGCTGTTCAATGCCTTCTAGAATATTCAACATATCACCCTCGGTTTGATTAAATTCAAAATTCTGATCGTTTTGCATGGCATTTGGATTGGAGTTTTCATTTGAAATGGCATCGGTTGAGGTGGCTTCATCTGGATTGGAAATTTGATCTTGATTTTCGAAAAGAATGCTGCGATCGGTCATAAATGGATCTTCGAGCCCCAGCCCCAGCTCACTACAGTCCATATCAAGTAACATGGCATAATTTTGATCAATTGAATTAGCCAGATCTTCGGCGGTATCATGATCAAAATCGAATATACCACTTGTTAAATCCAATAGATCATTGTGAGTACCCGTCGAATCGAGAGACTCATCAATTTGTTCACCGTCACCGATAAAAGTATCCACACTGCCACCGCCACCGCCGCCAGTCGCAAATATACTTTCGATCGACGGTATGCTTGGCACTTCATAAAACTATGGAGGGGAAGGGGGGGATGAGAGGTCGGTATTTTATTCAAATTTTTTGATCACAAGCTTTGTTCATTAAACGCTACGAAATACTTACATATGTATGTCTAGCTAGGACTATACTATATATAGTTGTATATATATATAGACATAATATATATATATACTACAAGCTAATGGAGGTGTGGATGCTGCGCGGCTAGATCGATATAAATCGATCGCAATCGATCGTGAGGTTGAGTTGTATGAATGTTGTTGTGTTTAAATGTATGTATATATGCAATTAGTATGGGCCCAATGTTGTAGAAGGCTCTGGTTTTTAGTGCTAGTGCTATGGATAGTGCTATTGGTAGTGGATATTGTGGTAGTAGTATTTAGGCTCAGCCTCTAATTAACGCACCTTTTGTATATACTGGCGCTTGGCCGGCGCCACGCTCAAATGCAGCACACATGTCGAGTCCTCGAGTATGCTGGCGACTGGCTCTTGGCACACCACGCCGCTGCGCTCGACGCCGCAGGCGCGATACAACACCTGACGCTTGTCCTCGAGTATATGCTTGCGACAATGCTTGCAGCAGGGCAACGTGCGTTCGCCACACTTGACGCCGCCCTCGGTAAAAACGCACTTGGGCTGACTGGATGCCTTGGCGGGTAGCACAGTGTCGCGTGCCCGTTTCTCTTTCATCTTTTTATAGAGCACCGCCTCCATGCCCTGTCGACGATGATAGCCATTCAACGCCTTCAATTGTTCATACAGTTTGCGCTCGTGCGGCGTCTCCTTGAGCTGGTCGTGAATGCTGCCTGCAATTATTTATATGTATATCAATGTGAATAGCAAGTAAATTTTGTAAATTACAGTATGTTTCGCGCTCGCGACGTATGTCCTGCAAATAGCTGCGCCGCCGCTGCTTCAAGACATGCTGCAAGTGTGTAATCTGATCGCGGTACAGGCCTTGCAACTTGATCAGCTTCAGCTCAGACAGACGCACAGCCTCCGCGCGTGTATAGACGCCGGCATGCCTACAAATTAAACCAGAATTGAGTACAATCATATGGTAATATGTAGTTTATATTGGCTTACTTGAGCGGATCGTCCTCCTCCGAATCGACGCTCTCATAGTCAGATTCAAAGAACTCCAGATCTTTTGCCGTATTCCTTAGGCAAGGCGGATCCTCGTCATTACTGGAGCTATCCGAGGCATAATCTAAAATACGACAACGCTTGCGCACACTGGCCACAACTTGTGGTATGGAATTCGTATGATCCTGATTGACTGCAAGAGAGAAAAAAGGCAGGAAGTTCGATTATGATTATAATAGATGGTTACGATCCGGCCGACTCCTCTTGTAGCTAATGCTCGGATCTAAGCCAAGTTTTAACAATAAAATACTTATTGGCATAACAACAAGCAAGGGATAGGAGATATCTTCCTCCATACGTTGCCCCACACTCACCAAAAGGCGTCACATGCGGTGACACCACATCGATTTCATCATCATCCGGCTCCGGTTTGGGCAGTTCCGGCTTGATGTCCTCGACATTCACGTGATGCGACAGACTATTGAGGAGCGTCTCATTAGTCTCGACGCGACTACGCAGACGACCCACGGATAGGTGGGTCTTTTGCAGCTGCGTCTGACGGTTGTGCTCGAAACAGAGCGTGGTGAGAATCGGCTCCTTTTTGGTATCCAATTTGGGAACGGCATTGGCGCACTTGCGTCCATTTGGGTACACATGGGTGCACTGACGATAATTGGCACGCGGATCACGCAGAATGTGTCGAATGCAGTACTCGTAGCCGTCGAGGCGCATTAAGCTGCAGGCATAGGTCGGATTGCTGCAGTATTTGATTTTTGCCAGTTCGCTGTGGATTTGTTCGCGTAGCTTTTGCTCCTTTTCTGGTGTGCAAGCAGTGCCCGTAAACCGTGCGCATTGGCGCAATTGGTTTGGCGAAAAACTTGCCATTTTGTGTCTATGCTGCGACAGAATTTTCGGCGATGCGACTGAAAAATGCGTCGCTATTGTTGGAGATGGCCGATTGCTATTGATAAGCAATATGGTAACCCTAAATGGCTTCATCTGCGTTACAATTTTAGTAACAGTTACACGTGCGTGAAACTAGCGACGGTTTCTTAGCGTCGATTTTTGGAACTTGGAACCGGAGCTGGAATCACTCACTTTCAACTATATTCAAATATTTTTCTAAGCACAATAACATTCTTTAATATATTAATATTAATATTTTTCTTTTAATAAATAATGGCCCCGAATAATCACGATTAAAGCCTATAGTTTTACCTAGCCAATCGTGAAAATCGTTAAACTCGTCGGTACCGTATTTAAGATTTATTAAAGCTAAGTAAAATTTTTTTCAATTTGCAATAATATTATAATTTGGTTATAAAAAAAAAAAAAAACAATAAAAGGTGGGTGATCGACACTTAACTACCATCGCTAATTTCACGTTCGTATATATGAACGCAATTGTAACGGTATGGCTACCGATATTTTTGTGCTATAAAGAGTCACAAATATTTATAATAAACAATTTGAAGCAAACGAATTACAAGCAAGAAATAATATATATAAAATAAGAATGCGCAAATATATAAACTATACGAAATGATTTTAGTAAGCTTGGCGCAATCGATAAATTCTGCACAAACTATCGATTGCGTCGACGATATTTTCTGCTCATCTCTCTTTCGCGTTTATGTTTGTCAAAACAAAAATTAAAAATCAAAAAAAATTTTTAGCTATTGTATAATTAGCGTTTAATCAATTCAAAATCAACAAAATGCAATGTAAATAAGTTCCCACTGTGTTTCCGTTCATATATGTCTTCATGTTGTTTCGCGTAACGTAACCAACTGCTGTCTGAACAATCCTACCCCGTTTGAGAGAAAAAAAAAAATGGACTCATTTAAGCTTTAAGGCTCCGCGCACTTGTGCTGGCCACCAAACGAGAATATTTATTCGGAACGCAGCAAAGCAAACATAATGCTTCAGTATAAAAACACGAACACAACGCTAGCCAGTGCGGTCAATAACAATAACAATGGGCAAGCGAACACTGCCACGCCCGCCGCCTCCGCTAAGGCAGCAAATAGTGCGGGCGCCGTCACGAATACGTCGACTGCTGCTGCACCCGCACCGCAAATGCAACAGATCATCAACATACATCAGATGCCGCCACAGTTTATGCAGGCAGCGCAACTGCAGCAGGCTGGCGGTGCCACCACCGTGTCCGGCCTGCCGCAGAACATGTTCCAGATTGTGCAGCCGATGGGCATGCAAACGGTCAACATTGACGGGCAGGAGGCCATCTTTATACCCAATCTAAATGCACAGCTGGCCACTGCGCAGGCAGTCAACATAAATGGCCAGCAGGCGTTCATAACGCCCAACGGCCAGATAGTGCGGGCGCCACAGGCGCTGCCCACGCACGATCCCACCCAGACGCAGCTGTTCACCATACCCGGCACAAACATACAAATACCGCTGGCGAATATTGTGCAGCAGCAGCCGCAACAACAACAGCAGCAGCAACAACAACAACAGCAGCAGCAGCCGCAACAGTCTGCCACGCCAGGACTCGCACTCCAAGCCCAGGCGGCGGCGGCGGCACAGCAGCAACAGCAACAACAGCAGCAGCAGCACAACCAGGCGACTGGCGGTGCGGCGGCGGGGCAAACGATCACCATTCCCGGCACCAACATACAAATACCCGCCTCTGTGGCCGCCGCAAACGGGCTGCTGGGCAACATAACGAATCTGCTGGGCGGAGCGCCCACCACAATTAAGCTGGAGAACGGCCAGACACTACAGAATATACAATTGCGCGCCGCAGCGCCTGGTGCGGCACAGCAGCTGCTGCAGTTTCCGCAGCCAGCGCCGGCGGCGGCACCGACGCTGCAGCAAACGGTGGCCGTGCAGATACCCGTGCAAACGGCCAACGGCCAGACCATCTACCAGACGGTTCACGTGCCCGTTCAGGCGGCCGCGGCGCCAGCGACACCAGCGCAGCCCACCTTGTCGAATCTGACGCAATCAATCCAGGCGCTGCCCGCCTCCATGCAGCAGGCGGCTGCCCAAATGCAGATCATACCACAGTTTGCACAAATTGCCCAAATTGTGACGCCCAACGGGCAAATCCAGCAGGTAATGATGCGCTCCAACTGGCAACTGGGTTGAAATACGCTTTTTATGAGGTTCTCCAATCTGTTATTCCTAGAACGCAACTTGCCACTTTCTGCTAGAGATTATGGAAGTCCGATGTTGATAGGTTTTAGTGCTTAAGGCATAAATTGTTTGAAAGCAGAAAGAATCCAAGTTTTAATAAGATTGGTTTTAGTACCTGTTGATAAGCTAGATGACTTGTTAGACTCTTAATGAAGATATTAAGTGATGCGTATAAGTTTAAGGTTTCATTTCAATTCAAAAGTTTTGTGAGTAAAATTTGATCGGCGTCTATCTCATTTTTAAATATCTGTATGCATTACAAATTTAATTTATCCCACATTTAAACAATCCATTTGACAAATTCAAAGAGGCAAGTTTCGGATCAAAAACTGAAAGCACAGATCTGGAAAACTAGGCTCACAAGCTGATCCTTAAGTCGTTATCCCAGCCTGCGAACATTTTTTGCTATTTTTGGGCTTGATCTAGGCTTTTGTCAATTAGCAGATCAGGAGTTTTGTTATCTCAGAGCGAAATTATCTGCATTTTTGAGAAGTTTATCTGCCAGGATTTTATCTCCCAGCCAGGCAGCCCCTTACTTACTTATATATGCACAAATAATTAAAATTAATGCACTTTTTACGTACAGGTTCAGTTGGCGCCGCTAAATGCACTCAACTATTCGCAGCTGCCGCCGAATGCGAATATCATACACATACAGAATCCGCAGCAACATCAGCAGTTCGTGCAGTCGCAGCCCCAGCTGCAGCAGCAGCAGCAACAGGCGCAACAACAACAGCAGCAGCAGCAACAGGCGCAACAGCAGCAACTGCAGCAGCAAACGCAGCAACAACAACAGCAACAGCAGCAGCAACAACAGCAACAGGCGGCGGCAGCAGCTGCGGCTGTGCAACAACAGCAACAGCAGCTCTTCAATGCCATCAATGAGGCGGGCGGGCAATTGCCGGCCAATCAGCCCATAACCATAACAAATGCACAGGGACAACAGTTGACGGTGATACCGGCACAGCAGCTGCAACAGTTGCAGCAGCTGCGGGCGAATCAAATGCAGCTGCAAACGGGCAATCTGCAGGCGCTGCCCATACAGAATATACCCGGTCTGGGTCAGGTGCAGATCATACAGGCGAATCAATTGCCCGCGAATATGGCTGCCAACTTTCAGCAGGTGCTCACACAGCTGCCCATGCCGATGCAGACGACAACAACTAGCGCGGTGGGCAATCAGGCGCAGCATGCACCAGCACTGACCATGCTGCCCAAGCAGGAGCCACAGAGTCCCACACAGCTGATCACGAGCATTAAACAGGAGCCGCCAGATGCAACCGTCTCGAATACAACTAACAACACAGTCCAGCAGCCGCAACAGATCAAGTTCATAATGCCACAATCGCCGCAGCAGCAGCAACAGCAGCAGCAGCAGCAGCTGATTGGAGCTGATGGAGGCAGCAACAGCAGCAGCTGTCTTCCGGCCGTGACAATCCCAGCCTCCATACAGATAACCGCCTTGCCTTCACCGGCGCCGCCGGCGACGGCACGCAGCACGCCCAAGCTGACCATGACCAGCATAGGCAGCAGCAGCAATACCAGCACACAGATAACCATGAGCTCGGCCGGGCAAATGGTGGCGCGTGCCAAGCAGCTGAAGCAAGTGACGCAGCCAGCGACGGCGGCGTCGACGGCGACCAGCGTCAATGTGAACATCAATGTGGGCGAGAGCATGGTGCCGGAGATCAAGCCGCGGCTGAAGCGCGTCGCTTGCACCTGTCCCAACTGCACCGACGGGGAGAAGCATTCGGATCGCAAGCGTCAGCACATCTGTCACATACCCGGCTGCAGCAAGGTCTACGGCAAGACTTCGCATCTGCGCGCCCATTTGCGCTGGCATACGGGCGAGCGTCCGTTTGTCTGTTCCTGGGTGTTTTGCGGCAAGCGCTTCACGCGCTCCGATGAGCTGCAGCGGCACAGACGCACGCACACGGGCGAGAAGCGTTTCCAGTGCCGCGAATGCAACAAGAAGTTCATGCGCAGCGATCACCTGTCCAAGCACATCAAGACGCACTTTAAGACGCGCTCGAGCGTTGAACTCATCGAGCTGAACATTAAGCAGGAGCCGAAAATCAATGCGCCCAAAAGTATTAGCACCATGAGCGGCATCGTGACCATTGAGATACCGACGAGCGGACCGGCGGCCAATGGCAGCGGCGCCTCCAGCGTGGCGGCAACAGTTGCGGGCTCAACTGTAACGGCAGCGCCGGGCGGCGCAACAATCGTGCAGCTGCCCACATTGAGCGGCGATGATGGCGTTGGCGGCGCCTCCACGGACAGCTTTGGCGAGGACGATGAACTGGACGACGAGGAGCTGACCGAAGAGGATGACGAGGAACTCACCGAAGAGGATGAAGAGGACGACGAGGAGGATAGCGGCGATGAGGAGAAAATGACCATCTCTGTCAGCGAACTGGGCGAAAACTCATCCAACTAGCATTCGGAATCGCTGTTCATGGAACAGTTCATCTTCGATCACTTCCCATAGCCCATGCTAAACGAATTGCAGCCTGTACAGTGGATACCTAGCATAGCCTGGCCCAACAGATGCGACTAATTGTATTTATGTAATGTGTTTATGTAAATCTTTGTATATAGTTCAGAAATGAGAAATAAGTTATCCTTCGGCTAGCCGAAGCACACAAAAATCCTTGCAGAGGTCAAGTAAGTTTATTTTTCAATCAATTACAGCCTCTTAATTTTGTATATAAAATTAGGCTGTAACATTTTTATTTTAACTTTAAGCTTGTAAAATATTTATTCAAAAACTTACAAATAAATTCATATCATAAATCTAACAAAACATTTTACAATTTGTTCGTATAAATGTTTGTTCATATTATATTTATTCGCCCAGCTCGAGCGTAACAATATCCACTGCAAGGGTCAAATAATAATAACTTTAATTTTATAAATGTATATTTTGTAGCATAAGTTTTTACTACGAAGGATTTAAAAACATACACGCAATTTTAACTAGCATATTAGCATTAAAAACAAAGTATATATATGGAACGTTTTAAGGAAATTTTTATACTCAAAACGCACAATAAAGTCGAACTATGTAACATATTTCTGCGAAAGTTTAAGAAAGCGACTCATTAATCTGTTATCGTGCATCTAAAGAAATGGCTCGGAGCAAGGCGCTTGTGTGGACGTGGCCGGCACTTGTGTATTGAAGAGGGCATAGTCCTCGGTGATGGAGACAATTGGCTGACTCTGGGTTTGTGGCGTCTGGACATCTAAATCTAAGGTGCCAATGGTTATGGATTCGGTATTGATTTGGACGGCTGCCTCGGCCCAGTCTGCGTCCGGCCCGTACTCATGCAAACTGGAGTTCTCCGTATGCGCCTCAGCCTCTAATTTGCCAACCGTCTCTTGCGATTCTTCCATGACCCACATTTCGGGATCGTTCGTAAAAATGCCCAGCGTAGACGCCGAATTTTGTGAATCCAAGGAAGCCGGATATTGCAATGCTGTTGCTGATGCTGATGATTTTTGCTCGCCGCTGGACGCCGCCTGGTCGGGCATCTGCGCCGGCAACTGTGATGAACTCTCATTGCTGTCGGGCAGGACGGTGGCTTGTGTGGATTCCCGGTGCCAGCGATTTAGTCGACAATTGTTCTCCTTTTTCAGTTGACATTGCCTAATGTGATTGCATTTGGCAATCTCATCTGGCGTGTAGGGCAAAACCATTTTCTTGGCCACGGCCTTTACGAGCATCGCATTGATGAAGCGCTCCGAGCGATTAGCCAGGCGTCCCTTTTTCTCCAGGCGCCGCTTAGCTTCCCATACGCAGTTGAAGAGTGTCATATTGACGCGCACTTTAGTGCGTAGACAAAGCTTTCTCTTCTCGTCCTGGGTGTATTCACGAGTCAAATCCTCGCTGGTTATTTTCTGCAAAGCGTAAAATAATAAATACTCCGTTGTGCATAAATCTCTGGTTGTACATACAAGCGGTTCATACAATTTGCGCACTAATTCCTTGTCATCGCCATCCAGTTCATCGGCTATGCTTAATATTTTGGCCTCCTCTGCGTGTTGATATTTAATTAATAACTCCGATAAACAGCGCGCCATCATAATTTTATTGTTGTTGAAATTTACAAAATTGCGATGCTTTTGTTGTTTTCAGTGTGACCCTTCAACTAAAACGCACAAATACTCAAAAGAACCAGAAAATATACCAAAATACCGAATACCGTCGAAAAGTTCGTAAGTTCGGAAAAAACGTAAGGAAATAGAAGAACCGTAAGAATGATGAATATGATATTTTATTGCCGTTACAGAATGAATAATCCTGCAATCTGAAAATATAATTCTTAAATATTTTATACATGTTCAATGAATTAATTTAGTTGAAAATTATATATTAAAAGATTTTGGAAACTACGCCAATTAATATTAATTTAGTATTATACATCAGATAAGTTATATTTAATTCGCGACCTTAAGCAATGGGGTATTCTCTTGATTTCGCTGAATGCGCGCCTGATACGCGTCCTTTAGCTGCACTATTACGTTGGCAAACAGGATGGTGCCAAAGAAAACGAGGGCGGTGCCGATCCAATGGCTGAGCGTGAAGGGATTGCGAAAATAGAGAATAGAGAAGATCAGAGAGACGAATTTGCGCAGCGTAACGACCATGGTGACAATGAGGGAGGCGCATTCCGTGGTCAAGACGTAAACGGCACCAATGCAGATATATTGGGTGATCACATTGCACAGCAAATAGAAGAGCATCAGCGAGAAGGACCAGTTGATGCCCAATTTGTGCAGCACGGGCACGGCGACTCTTTCCGAGGCGATCGCAATATTCCAGTGTTGGACAATGTTGCCGGCCATAAGCAGAAAGCCGGGCAGCGGCAGCATGTGCGTATAGAAGAGCGCCTCGTTCGGATGTTTGCCGTAACGCTTGTAGATGACCTCCTGGTAGATGCCCATATATGCCGTGACGAGCAGGGCAATCGAGAGCAGGGCAATGCCCACGCTCCACCAGAACAGATCCGAGAACGAGGTCTCCACCTTCACCAGCGGATGTGTCTTGTCCTTGACATCGCCACTGGAGACCAGCGTGCAGAGCATAATGCCCGCCGTGATCATCAGCACGGAGCTGTACTGCCGGAGATTGTAGCGCTTCTTTAGCAGAATGATGCCCATGATCATGTTGGCCATCAGGGAGCCGCTGCGAAAGATCATGTGCAGCGGCATGGCTATGTTGAAATTGAAGGCATAATTGTTGCACACGTTCGCGCCAAAGAACAGCACCACGAGCAGCACGTAATCCTTCAAGGCGATCTTCGGACTGACCGTAAAGAACTTCGATGTAAAGATCAGTCCATTCAGCGCAATAAACAGAAACTGCAGAAATGTGATCAAATTTCCGGCACCGGGATCGATCTGAATGATCAGTTCCAGAAAGACCACATTGCTGCAGCAGCCGACGAACACAAACAACATGGCCAACAGAGCCTTCCAGCTAGTCATCATGTCTATTAATTATATTATATTGGGACGAACTGGAATGCCAACATGCGCGACCTGCAAAGTCTTGAATTAGGCGAGAAACTGTGCCAACTGCTGCTGTTGGCAGCGACAATAGCTATGGACAAATAAATGATTGCACAGCTGTGGCTGCTTGAACGTAAACAATTGGGAGTTGTCAACAAAAGTCCAAAGCAAATCGACAATGATAACGGGTATGTTAATAACGTTTTAAAATGTATAAGTGTTTAATGTGTCACACGTGTAATGTACAACAATAACTTGTTCATCAACTAGCTTGCCACTAATATATGCTTTTGGTGTCTTAAAAAATAAAAAAGTATATATATCTATCTATATTTTGAGGGTTTTAAATGCAACTTTGGCTGTCATTTTAATTTGAAATAAAACAATGGGACCAGCTTTCTACAAAAGATCAGTTTTGTTTCTTAGTGCGACCATATTTACCACGTAGCGATCAAATAAATATGCAAATACTGGAATTACGCGTTTTTCTGCGTCTCCGGCGTTGGTCACATCGTGCAGAAGAGCGTGTGTAAGAGATATGCGAAAAAAGAAAAGTTTGCAGCAATACAGTCGCAAATAAAACGAAAATAAGTTACTAGCAACAAAAAAGAATTAAACAAAAATTGCATCTTTTAAAGTGGCTGGCAAAGCAAATAGTACGAATTTTCATTGTGCTTGTATGTATTGTGCATGTCTGCATCTGACCGTGTAACTGTGTGTATGTGTATGTGTGTGTGTATGTGTTTTTAGTGTTTATACGTGCTTGTTTTGTTTTGGTTAAATGAGTTTGTTGTAAATTACTTGTGTATAAAATAACGATGATAAAAATTATTTGAAATATCTATCAAAATAATTCGTAAAATATTAAATTTAATGTATATTTATATCCAATTTCTCTCAATTTGCAATATACATATATTCTCTGGACAATAAGTGGCAACTCCAAGCCAACATGTATACAAAAACAAGAAGCGACTATGAAAACGAATCGCACAATAAATAAATGGAAGGCAAACGCGCAAAAAAGAAAAAGCGACCCAAAACGAGAAAGAGAATAAGCAATTTCGTCGCTTTAGTACAAAATTTCTAGTTACGCGCATTTCACATCAAGAACATTTGTACAAATACACTAAAAATAAAAAAAAAACAACAACAAAAACGACCAAAAAAAAAATAATAACACCGTTTAGTATTCAAAATTGTTTGGTAATTCAATGAGAAGACGCAAGTGAAGAGGCGGCAAGAAACCAAAAAACCAATTAACAGAACTCAGCAAGAGAGAACTAATATAAGCATATATATACATACATAGGTAAAGAGTGAGTGCTGGACACATTTTACAACTATCGCGGCTCCTCCAACAAAGCAGCTGCTGCACAACTTTATCGCAAGCCCAAATTTACAAATCTATATATACATATACATACACATACATTTGAATGTATAAGTGTGGTACAACGCGATGCTATGCCGCTTCAGCCTTGCTGTATATGTATACTCGGCGACTACACACAGTTGTTTCCCAGCACCCCCACCATATATGTATATGTACATACATACATGCACACATACTGATGTATTTATGTACATACATGTGCAAATTTATATGTGTATTTTGCCCGCGCGCTTGCAAAATCCCTAAAAAAAAAAAAAAGAAACAATTTTCGTTTGCATATACTACTACTGTATATTTATGTTTTATATTTTTTTTTACAATTGTGTATGATTTTTGCGAATGTTCGTCTATCTTTTTGTGTTTACTAATACAAATAATAATTCAATCCATTTGTTAATATTTTGCAGAGACGCTTAAATCATCAGGCGGTTATTATGAAAGGTTATAATTTGTTTCAACATCCTTCCCCCACCCTCCCTACATTCATAAAACGAATGAACACATGGCTTCGGGCACCGAAGATCAAATACCCTTGCAGACATTCAATATTCATTCTTAATAATAAAAAAAAGGACAAAAAATTCTTCAGGCTAGCAGAACTCAATTTTGGACTGATTATAATATATGCTACTAAAGTGGTCCGATCCAAGAGAATACGAAAAATCTACCAACTGCGTATCTTTGGCAAGTTTTATACAGGGTATACTTTGGAAACGGAAATGCCTTCATTAATTAATTACGCATTTAGTGAGCAAAACTATAATATCCTCTGCAAGGGTATAAAATAAAATAAAATATATATGTGCATATGCCAACATGTATGTACGTTATTTTTGTTGCCGTTGCCGTTGCCTAAGCCAGGTTTTGTCTCCTAACATGAGCCCTAACTTGCTAAAAACAAAAACAACAACAGCCAACCAACACCCAGGCCCCAATTTCCCGCAGACCGCAAGTATTATAAACTCAACTAATGATTTGTTTATTATCCAACCAGGAAATTATTATAAAATGTCTCGTAACAAAGACAAATATGACAGCACGAACAGAAGGCAACAGATATTTCTGTCCGCCGAAGATATTGCCGCTGGCAAAAAGACAAACTGGACGGGTCTCGAAATAACGGGTATGTAACGCTCTATCAAATATCTGCTATATAACTAAAACATTAATCCTCTTATGTTGGCAGGCTGCGTGCGCAATATCAGCCCCTCGTTGTGGGAGTTCGAACACCTGACCGCACTCTATCTGAACGACAACCAGCTGCTGCGGCTGCCAGCGGATGTGGGCCTGTTGGTTAGCCTGAGAACGTTGGATTTGTCCAGCAACAAGCTGCGCAGTCTGCCCGCCGAGCTGGGCGAGCTCATACAGCTAAGGTGGGCTAACCCCCAAATCGCACTACAATTGGGAGCAGCAACTAATTAGGTTTATCTTTTAACTATTTCCAGAGAGCTGCTGTTGAACAATAACTTTCTGCGTGTGCTGCCGTATGAGATCGGCAAGCTGTTCCATCTGGTCATACTTGGTCTGATGGGCAATCCGCTGCAAAAGGAGTTTATGAACATCTACAATGAGCCGAATGGCACGCCGAAATTGCTTACCCACATGTTGGACAACTTGTCATGTGAGTAGCAAACATATTGTTACTCTATTTCTATGTATTTGCCGCTGCGTGTATGCGTGTGTGTGTGTGTGTTTGAATTTTACGCGGGCTCCTGTTTCTGCAAAAAGGAAAGCTAAAAAGGGGCATGAAAAGAGAAAGTTCTCTTGTGCTGTTAACGTCTCTGTTATACCCTTACAGAGGGTATTACACTTGTGCTCCAAAATATGAAACACAAGATTTTTCACTTTCATCTCTTGTTCTTATCTAAGTTTATTCAAAACAAATTGATGATTGATTGATTGCTTACTAGAGCAACCTCAAATTACTATTTATCTATATTTATTATTGAGTTATGCATCGAAGAATATATTATCACAATATTAATTGCTGTGTAGGGTATTTATGTTTCGGCGCATCGTTAGCTTTTAGTTTTCTATTCGATTCGTTTTCAATCTGTAATGCGAGCTTTGGTTGACAGGATGGCAACCGGTTTTCGAACAACCGATTGGCCAATTAAAGTTCAAACTCATGGTTTTTCTTATTAATAATGCCAAACATCAATTATAATTTAATTGAATGCAAGCGCCAAAATGATATGCAACGCAATAAAGAAAAAACAACAACAAAGGCAACACTGCATGACCTCGACATGCAAAGCTGCTGGACGTTGGCCCAAAGCTGCAGCAGAGAGCGAGCTTAATGAAGAGAGCGAGAGAGAGAGAGACAGAGACAGAGGGAGTGAGAGCGTAGAGCGCGAGAGTGTGAGTGCAAATGCGGGCATAACGGCTTCAAGTGCGTTTACTGTTAGGCCGGCAAAGCTCGTGCGCGAATGAAATTGAATTCGCTGCCATCAGTCTGCCACAAGCTTGGCTCGCGAGCGGACGCTTTAACTCCACAGTCGACGCCAGTCAAAACCAGTTTTCGCCGTCTCGCCTCGTCTCGTCTCATACTTGTCGCTGGCTGCGCCTGCGCCAAGTGTTTCGTAATTTCGTTAGCGGCAGAGCGAGGCAACATTTGTGCCAGTTTCTTTTGTGCAGTTCGCTTTTCGGTTCGCGTTTTCGCGGACGCTTTTCATTTCGTGCGAATTTTTGGTTGCCGCGTGTGGAAATGCTTTTCGCAATGGCCGCCTGCATGCATTGAAGTGTTGAAATCTTGCAAATTGCAAATTGCGGCCAAGTGATGTGCGATACGCACGGCAGACGAGGACACAAGACGCTGCTGCTACCACGTGAGATACGAACGAGGCAGGATTATGAGATCGCATCTGGCCGTTTATCGTGCACCAGAAAACGCCAACGGTTGCCAGTTCGCTAGATACGCGCCCCATCCATTGCAGCCGCCGGCCATTTGGAATGCCGCCGCGCCGACCGCCTGCTACAATCTGCGCGCCCAGCCGCATCATGGACTATACCATGCAGGAGCAGGAGCAGGAGCAGGACCTCCGCCACAACAGCTGCTGGTCAATCAGCAGCGGATCAACGAGTGTGCCGGCATACCGCTTATCTCGAACGCCTGCAGCCACATGACGCCGGCGCAGCGTCATCGGCTGTTGCGCAAATCGGGCAAATCCTGGCCAGCCGCCGCCGCTGGCTCCGGCGCGCACTCCATGTCACAGCTGGCGGCGCATGCGCACGGCCAGCCGCTGCTTCAAAATGGCAACAAACAACATCATGCCCAGCTGCAGCAGCAGCAACAGTATTCGCCGCAATCCTGGCCAGCGCACGCCTCCAGCTATCAGCCCATGCGCCTGAATAACTTTCAATTGACGGACAAAACGCGCACGCTGCGCTATCAGAACTCGGCGCCGGCAGTGCTCAGCGCCCAGGAGCAGCAGAAGACAACCAACAACAACAACAACAGCAACAACAACTGTGCTGGCCAGGAGCCGGCATCGTCTGTGCCGGACACCTGTCTGCCGCGCATCATTAAGCCAAGGAAGCGCCGCAAAAAGGATCGCAAGCCGGCCAACGGCGTGCTGCTCAAAATGGAGACGGATTTGCAGCCCAAGCTGCAGCAGCATCAGGCGGCCAGCTATGGACAGCTGCTGCCTCTGGCTGCCGGCGGATGCAGTGGGATGCAGCAGCACGATCACAGCCATGGAGTTTGCTTTTGTCGCGACTGTGATCCGTTGCGTTCGCTGTGGGATTACCCGCTGCGCAGCGGGCAGCGCGGCGCCAGCAACTCGTCGAGCAACTCGTCCACGTCCACGCAATCGGACAACTCGTGCGCCAGCTCGATCTGCTCGCGAAATGTGCCCAACAATTTTGATGAGACGGAGCAACATTTTGCGCCCATCACCGGCGACAGTTGTCGCGCCGAAATTGTGGGCGTCATCGGATCGCAGCGCAGCCACGCCCATGCGCCCACTACAGCAAATCCAGCTCCAGCTGTAGCTGCAGCTCCAGCTCCAGCATTGTATCTGAGCGACTCGAGCGATTCGGGCTATGGCGACATCCTGAGCGGCATGAACATAGCCAACGATCTGTTTGCCAGCTGCTTTGGAGCTGGCGTCGCTGCCGACGCCAACGCGGCCGAGACGCTGCTCGACGCGAGCATCAACGAGATTTCGCGCAAGCTGATCGAGACGTGCGCCGTTAACGACGTCGACGGCAGCGTCGGCGTCGGCGGGGGTTCGAGCTGCGCCGGCGACAGCGACAGCTGCTCGGCGTCGGCCAGCGACAGCGGCTTGGATAGCGCTGGCAGCTATAACTCCGAGGCGCTTGTCTTCAATTTTGAGCATTTAAATCTGATGGATGCGAGCTTTGTGACGCCCACAGCTCTGGACTGCAACAACAACAACAACAACGACAACGACAAGCAACAATTTTACAACAATTGCTTCGACTTGGTTTGGCGCAACAACAACAACAACTGCAACGACAGCAAAGGCAGCGACGACAGCAGCGCCACGCCCACAACTCTAATACTGGGCACAGTTGGAAAATTGAAGCCCGCATTTTCCACCATCTCGTGACGACGAAATCCAAACCAAAATGCAGCCCACGCAATTTTATAGTTAATTGCCAAACCCTTTTTTTTTCATATGTGGGCGTGGGCGTGTGCGTTGCATAACCAAAAACCGTTAACCCACAAATTAGGCGAATTGTCAGCTGAAGAGAAATTGAATGGCAAAAGAAACGGAAGAAAAAAAAAAGAGCACGAGACATTGAAATTAATGCGCCATGGGCGCAACAACAACAGCAATTGAGAGAAGACGCCTGCGCTGCAGACTTTGTAGATCTGTATGTATATGTGTGTATGTATATATATATGCATGTGTATGTACAGGCTACAGCTTTCACTTTCGCTGCGGCGAAGTTGCTTTGTTTTTGCCCAGACAAGCGGCGAGATTCAAACACAAAAAAACAACAAAAACAACGACGAAAAGTCTTATGCAGATTTTTAAACGCAAAAGTAATAGAAATCGTGACTAGACAAGAGGCCCAGCTAAAATTGTGGACACACACAACCCTATATATATACATATATATATATATACAATTTATATATACACAACTTATATATATATACTTTTATAACGAGAGCGATGACGCATTTGTAACATTTGTAAAAATTGGTTTAGTTTATTTTATTTTTTGTTATTTGTGCATTAACGATTTGTATTTGAGAAGCTTTGAGCTTAGTTTTCCCATAAGTTTTCGAATAGATGATAATACTATATTTAGTTAGACAGCAAAGCAAATAATGGGTCACTGCCAAAATTTGCTCTATATTTCATATATATATATATATATATATATATATATATATATATATATATATATATATATATATATATATATATATGTTATCATATATTTCTCTTTCTTCTGCAAACTATTTTTTTGGTTGACCTTAATTATTTGTCTTGCTGAGCTAATAATTTGTTTGTAGTTCCTAATTAACACTTGGTTCGTTTTCTTTTTAAACAAAATTTGGGTTTATCGTTTTCGGTTGGGTTTTTAAGGTAACAGTTAGTTTATAGAGCGCTACGAAGTGAACTTTTTTAGTTATTTAAGTTTATTTATGTTATTCTGTTAAGCTAAATGCTGTTGAGACAAATCACATTTCAAGACACGCAATGATCTCTCGAATTGAGTTAAGATCATAATAGAATATGTTCTCGATATCTAGATATATACTTATATAGATGGCTTTTTTCGTTTCATTCCATAAGGAGATCAGAAAATGATTTGAATTTCGGTTTTTACTTAGTTTATTAATGATGAAACATTTTTAATTCGATTTGCTTGGTCGGATTAATGTATATATCGAATTCTCAGCTTTTTTGTGCTTTTACTATTTATATATATAAAATCATTCAAATACTACTCATCGGTTTTTGATCTTATCCGAATCACTCGAACATATTCTTTGACTACAATTAGTTTGCTTAAAATACATTTGCAATTATTCAAGCTATTCGAATCATTCGAGTGCATTCGAATGCATTCCTGTATAAGTTTGCATTCATTCGAATTAGTTTGCTTAGAAACAGTAGCTTTTTTCCAAATGTTTCGAATAGTGTTTAGTTTTTTGGTATTTGAAATGCATTCGAATCATTTGAGTGCATTCGAATGCATTCCTGCATAAGTTTGCATTCATTCGAATTCTGTTCATGTCTTTAACTACTTATGGTTGACTTTTAAACCTATTCGAATCATTCGAATGCATTCATAACTTGATATTTATTGTATTCACTTCGACTGAATTCTGGCACTCATATATACATATATATTTCACTCGCTTCGATTGATTTCGATGCAGTTTTTAGTTTTATTTTTTGGGTCAGCTTATAGTTGACGGCTGTTGGCTGAAGGTTAAGGTCGCCGCTTTTTAATTTGTAAGACACCTTTTGCTAATTATGCCAAGCTCTGATCACTGAGCATAAAATCTAAGACAACAGCAGTAGCAGCAGAAGCCCTAGTTACCTGCTTATTTAGCAGTTGGCGCCGAGTAAAAGTTTTCGCCTTTTTTAATTAAAAGAAACTCACGAGCGCGCAAAGAAATTGCATTTGCTGGTCTCGAGTTTTCCACAGTAGCTGCTGCTGCTGCTGCTGCTTGGCATGATGGAAAAATGTCACAGTTTTCCACGATCGAGTCGAGTCGAGTCGAGTTCCGGCCAATGGCGGGGCCGCCCAGTATGGAGCCGGCTGCGCTTTTGTTACCATTCCCCACATAAACTAATTTATTTAATTAAGATTTTCACTAGCTTGTAATTGTAATTGTCATTGTACATGTATTTCTTCAATATGTGTTATTGCACAAATAACAAAACGGAGGCGCGATTTAATATCTTTCTCACATAATTCTCATTCCATTTAGCCTTAAGTATCTCCATTAAGTTCTTGTTTCGCGCACAATACCGCAATTATTATTTATTTTGATTAAGCGTGAACGAGAGCTCAATAAAATACATAAATAAACGAATGAAAAAAAAAAAAACCGCCCCGTTTGTTTGGAAATGAAAAAGAAAAACCTGATTACTGTTTTGATAGCCCCGAAAAGTGTGTTTCCCTGGGCCGCAAGATTTCTATTGGGGCACGTTCAAGCCGATGTCGACTGTTTTCAAATAAACAAATCAACAAATCAACAAATAAACAAATAAACAAATAACAAATAGACAATCCACCAGAGGAGAGACAGGCAAATAAACATACACTACTGAACATTGGAGCACTGATCTTGGGACCGTGGCTGCACTTGAGAGTGAACTTTCCAAGCATTAGCCCAACGAATTATTATTATTATTTGTATACTCTAGCCAGAGGGTATTATGATTTTGGCGTGAAATGTGTAACGCATCGTTCAAAAATTAGGTTCTTGTGTGAAAAAGTTTTTTGTTTTTCAAGTTGTCTTATCAAAACTTGGCATTTATTACTTTTACTATGCGTTAGATATATATATGCAAAATCCTATCAATATCGGACCACTATATCATATAGCTGCCATAGAAACTATCGTTCGAAAAGTAGTTTCTTGTATGGAAAACTTGTTTGTTCATCAAGATATCCTAACTAAACATGACATTTATTACTTTTACTATGCTCCTCATATATATGCTGAATCCTATCATAATCGGATCACTATATCATATAGCTGCCATAGGAACGATAGGTAAAAAATAAAGTTGCATGGAAAACTTTTTGGTTTTTCAAGATATCTTAACTAAACTCGGCATTAACTGGTCTCCCAGTGCTTCTTAGATACGTTCAAAGCAATTATGAATATACTAATTGTGGTAAGGGCATTAAATCTGCGGCCTGCCAAAGACCGCCCTTCTTTCTGGTTTTTTCTAGTTTTAGTTATACAGTCAGCCAAACTTTGAACCAGCTTTTGTCGTAGCTTGGCCTGAGATTGTTTACCTTTCACCTGGTGTCGCCGCGTCTTCCTCTTGCTCTTTAATTGAAAGAGAGCGGCTCGTATTGAAAATGTTCGCAGAGATCCGCTGTATTAACCGTAACTGGCAAATTAATTTCTTTTTGTGCGCCACAAATTGCCGGTCATTTGGCTAATTAATGTCTATATTTTAGGGTCTCGTCGTCGTCGTCATCATCTTCTTCTACAGCAATTCATTTTGCCACAATGACTTCTGGCTGACTCCTAAAGAGCCCGCTTATATTCTAAGTCCACTCTGTCCACAACTTGTCTACCACTTTTCTCCCCCTCCTCCTCGCCCCTCTCTCTCTCACTCGCCGGCTAGCGTCCAACCGTTTGAGTGGGTCAGTGGATAATTGGGTCATTTGCAACACTGTTTGCGCCATCATGCCGGCAACTGTTCGGGCCCCAACACTGGCTAATGTGCTTGGCTACGTCAATAAGTGCGTCGTCTTCTTCTCCAGGTCGTGTTCTTCTCTCTGCTTCTCGCCAACGGTCAACGGAGCATTCCATAGTTAGAGCGTCGTCTGTTTGGGTTTTCTTGCAAGACTCTACAATTTAATTGTTACTAAATGCCCTTTTCTGCGGAATACATTAACATTTTTATCACGTTTGCCTCGCTCCCAATTACGAATAAACACAATTTATATCAGCTTTTGCATTGTGTTTCAAGAACCTTCAGAACTTATTGATAAAATGGGTATAAGGGTATATTGTATTTGTGCAAAATGCAAATGTATGTAACAGGCAGAAGGAAGCATCTCCGACCCCATAAAGTCTATATATTCTTGATCAGCATCAATAGCCGAGTCGATCTAGCCATGTCCGTCTGTCTGTCTTTCCGTGCGTCCGTCTGTCCGTATGTATGAACGCAAGGATCTCAGAACCTATAAGAGCTACAGAAATTTTAGATGTAGGTGCTCCTAGTGCCTGCGCAGATCGAGTTTCTTTCCGATACTCGATAACTTACTCCGTTTGCAAGCAATCGATACAAATCGATATCGATATCCTGTTTTTTGGGCAATTTTGGTAAATAATAAGAGCTAGAGTCACCAAACTTGACATATAGCTTCTAAAATAGAATATATATATGCATTTGATGTTGGAAGAAGAGGGTTCAGGGTATCCCCTCGAAGTTATCTCGAAGTTATGAAGCCTCTAAAGTTAGCTGGGATATCTCAAATGAATGACAATACTTCTTGGTGTTTAGATGTATTTGTCGATTTGAATAAATTGTTCGACATATTTTGCTTAATCGTTTTTTTTTTACAAATTAAATTAGATTAAATTGAAAATAATAGCGCTTGTTAGTGTATTAACGCTTTGGCTTTGGTTTATTTCTCTAGAGTTTGCTCTGCTTGGCGATTTTGTCGCTTCACCTTGTTTTGCGATCGCGATTTTTCAATTTGTCTGGCATTTTTCGTCTTGCCGCATTTTCAATTTCTTGCTACATTTGATTGATACACGGATGGATTTTCCAATGAAATTGAAAGTCTTTGCCCAGCTGCAGCAGGCCAAGCCAAGCCAGGCCAGGCCAGGCCGGGCCGGGCTGTTGGCCCAGTTGCGGGACTACAAAAACAAAAGAAGAAAAAGGCC